TTTACCGTTTTGTGGATTTTTCATCATATGTTTCCTTGCATTCATATGTGGCGATTTGGACAGTTGCTAGATGTAAGTAGAAACTATTTTTCTAGAGGGAAAATGGGTTTAGATGGTCACATTTCTATAAGTAATAAATATATTTTATGAAAACGAGACATATGTATTATTAGACTATTCTTGTAAAAATACTCTGGAAGAAAAGTGTTGTTACAAGGAGGGTTTTTGGTTAAGTACGAACATATATACGAGGAATAATGATATGTTTCTTCTAGAACACTTTTATTATCTGGCCAATGAATTGATATGTCAATTGAATCATGTAATCTCACCAAAACAACATCCATATAATGTATATATTCTTTGCAGTTTGTAAGTTTCAGAGTGATGAAGCTAAATACAATCAACATAATATTAATTATGTTATTACAGACTTTCTATTATGGAACAGAACAGATACTTTATTAAGATTTGTACATAGTACATCATCTATAATACAATAATTTTTTACAAGCATAACGTCATATAGAACAATTCACTTTAAATTTTAGATTATTATCATTTCCATTGCCTCATATGTAAGGTCCAATCCCAATATAATTGTTTATTTATTTATTCATTTATTTATTTATTTATTTATTTATCAATTCATATTCTCTTTTTTTCTTTTTTTTTTCGAAATGGCGTTTACAAAAAAAATAGAAGAAAAATATTTGTACTTATATGAATGAATTCACTAAACTTTACCTAGCCTGTAACCGAAGTGTTTTTTTTTTCCGACAAAGTCCGTCTGTGAACGGTTCAGGAGCAAATTAATACTAACAGGATTTTCATTGGTCACTTTGAAATTACAAACTCAAATCAGGGAATCTCATTGGCTATTCTAAAATTAGTATAATAATCGAAAGGATCTTCAAACCAGTTCACATTTCCAAATTTTAAAAATCTAAAGGGGTATGGAAGGAACTTTCTATTAAAATTCTCGGAATTTGAGATCTTGGGCAATAATAAAAAAAAACCCTTGTGGAAAACCCAAAAAATGATAAAACATACTTTGTGTTTTCAAAAAAACTTTAAAATTTTGGTATATTTTTTAATATTAAAAAAAAAAATATTAAAGTATAATTTTTAATTATGTAAAAGTCACTTACGGAAAAAAGTCAATTCCCCTTTTGAAACACGTCTTGCAATTCCAATAATTTTTTTCTTTAAAAAACCCCAAAAAAACATATTTAAAAAAAGCAGTTTGACTTCGTCTGATTTTTTTAAATGATACTTCTTGTTAGTTATGTGTGCGATATGCAAATTAATGTCTGTCTTGCTACTTACCTATTCGTGTCGCTTTTTCCCCTTTGCAAAAACGATTAAAGAAATTTTTTTTTCAGTTTTTTTTCTTTATTTCGGAAGCCCTTTTTTTGTTTAAAAATACGAGTGGGTAATGGCACCAAAACAAAACAAAAAATAGAAAATAATAGATTTTTATTTTTTAAATCTAAAAACACAAAATTCCTTTAATATCACTTTGTATTTAAATTGTACCATTTCAAAAAATCCCCGTCTTTACAGTATATCGTGGACTTCTAACGTTTTATGTTTCTGCAGAATTATACCATGTCGAAAAAAGTTGAGAGCTTTGTGCAATTACAATGGGGAAACAATTTCGCTGCAGTAAATTGAGTAAATAAATGTAAACTAAGATCCGGGTCTGGTATAAATGATCTAACACATTTCGAGTATGTAATCATCTCTTAGATTTAAACTTTAAAGGCACATTATGACTCAAAAACGAATGAATATTTGCTTCTTACCAAAAGGCATACATGAAATTTATTACATTTAAATAATGGTTTAAGAGTACATTACATGCTTACCTCCTGAAGAAAGGAGTGCTAAATGTAAAATCATTTGTCATAAAAAATAGAAAAAAATGTTAACAAGGCAGTACTTTGACTTCCATACAAACTTCTAAATCACTTAAACTTCTAATTGCCAAAAGGCAACAGAGCTGAAGATCGTTGAAGTAATTGGCCAATGAGTATTTTTGGAAACTGTTATAGAACACCAAATTAAAAAATAAGCTTTTGAGAAATAAGAATTAAAGCATTTCTTTGACGTAATAAGGTTTTACCTTAACCTTGTAATTATATTTTAAACGCAATTTAAAGAATGAAATGCCACGAGACTTCGTCACTGATATACTCTGTTAATCCAAATATCTTTCTGTGTGTGTATGCGTGTGTGTGTGTGCGTGTGTGCGTGTGTGTGCGTGTGTATGTTTTGTTGTTTGGGTTTTTTTTTCAAGACGATTATTAAAAAAAACAATTTTAGGAAAATGTACTTTGCATACGCGATACTCCAACAGCTTTGAAATTCAAAACATATGCGAAATTATTATGCACTCTTGTTTTCCTAAGCCATTGTAGTATAAATACCGTTTTGCTGTGAAGTTAAAAGACAAATTTATTGCTAATGTCGCCCTGTGTACCATTATTTCAAACTAATTGCTCTGGCGTGGGTTCGATCACCGGGAGATGCTTTGGTAGTTTAGCGCGGAGGAAGGTAGTCTAGTACTGGTGTAACTCTCCAGGAACGATGGTTAGGAAACTAACTATACTAACTATATGACTGAAATACTGTTGGGAAAAGGCGTAAAATGAAACAAACAAACAAACAAAGCTAATGCCGCCCCTGTGTACCCTCTTGAAATTAGCAGGTGATCAACAATAAGGACAAATTGACATGTATTGACACACACATAAGATAGCGGGTGGTAAATTATGGTAAATGTTATTCAAAAACACTAACTCTAATTAAATTGGATGAACTACGCCGTTCTTGTCCAATTTAATTTTGTAAATGCTTATTAATGAATACTTACCTATTCACATTAGTCGAACGGTTGACTATTTGAGGTCTTGACCAATTTATATTTGTAAATGCTTACTAATGAACAATTACTTATTCATATTTGGCTGTAATAAATTCTTCATATAATTATGTAAGGTATTTACCATATACTTAATTAACGGAAATATCTTTCTTGAATTCTGTTAAAGAACTATGAAGGCTTTGTACGTTTTAGACATTATGTTGTTTTATCTATACGCGCGTAACGGCTTCGGTTCACAGTTTTCAGTGTCTTCAATAACCTTTTTAGGGCAGTTATTAAATTTTGATTAGCGATGGTTACCTTACTTCTAATATTCTGTTTATACTCATTGTAATTGTACTATCTGATTCTAGTCTAAACTTAACCGGTCTTGTATATGTTTCAAATTGATATACATCCCTCTTGAAATACTTAAGTATGAATATATACTGTGGTAAAACAAAACTTCTCTGAAAACATATTGCCACACTTGCTGCTTTTTCCCTCCTTGTAGAAGTACAACTTCAAATGTACTCGTATCAGGATTATTATAGGGCAAACAATCAGGTCATGCAACCTAGCTATATCTTAAGCCTCAATAGTAAGTAGTCAGCCACATTCATTTTAGTGACAGAAATATAAAGCGTTTAGAATATTGCAGTATTTTAAATGAATCGTCACACATTTACTTTACTAAATCGGCTAAATTTAATCAATCTGGTAATTTGACAGTTTTATAAAAAATAATTTCAAACACTAAATTGCTTCGATCTTGGCCAATTTAATTTTGTATATGCTTACTTATAAATGGCAAATTAAATGCAAGTAACAGTTAACACATAGCCTGCTTGCGGCAACTGAAACGATCCATGCGACCAGTGCAGACCAAGATCAGCCGACACATTCGCGCAGTCTTACCATGATCTGCAATGTGTTTGCTTGTTCATACACATTATGAACTTTTACCTGAAAAAGGCAGAATGGTTTTATTTAGAATAAAAGATGAAAAGGTCAATTTAATATATATAGCGTGGCAAGGGTTGAAGAGGAAATTTTTATCTTACGGATCAAGACTCCCCATTAATATTTAAAAACCAAGTAATAAAGTAATAAGGTAATAAAGTCAAAGCCGTTTTTGCTTCATTTCGATAGATTTGTAATACCTTTTAACGTACATTTTTGTCACAGTGTTCCTACTGTAGTGACAATTTGAGGGGAAAAAAATCCAATGTGAAGGCTCATAAGGGTCCATTATACTTAATTATCAAAATATTCATTGATGTCCAATTATATTCAAATAAGTATAACGTTAATAATACGTCCTTAATCGGTAAAGTCATAGTTCTTAATCCCACACAATGATATTCCCTTTGATATAATTGAACTTTAAGCTCTGCCAACAAGTGTCCAATGTCGTAAACCCTTGACAACATCTTATAACTACTTGCAGTTATTTTAGAATTTTGGTGGTACAAAGTATGATAATAAGTGTAACGTAGTTATTACTTGTTTTCAAAGAGATTTAGTAATGACCGTCAAGAAATCAAAACTATCACATTCAGCATACTGACACTTAATAAAAGTATGGCCAATTAGTCATACATTGTTATATTCGACCTCAAGGTGAAGATTGAACGACATTGGACATTAGTTAAGTGATTGAATTATCAATCTTAATCTCAATCACTCAATTTTATGCCAACCTTAAAACGTCCAACTAGATTTTAAACTTTTTTCCCTTATTGTTGCAAAAGAAAGCAAGCAAACATTCTTCAGAGGTTCTTTTTTGAAAAATACTCCATTTATCATTGATGCAGTGCATTCATACGCTAAAATGAAAATGATTTTTTTGTAATTTCGCATAAATATTATCACTATTTATTGTTTGTATTCCTTTAGATGATTCATTTATCCATTTTAAGCCCGATATTACTGATTATAAATTTCCGACAACGATTTTGTGAAGATGATATACAACGAAAACAGCAATACAAAATAAATTTTATTAAGTCTGTACATGAGAGATATTAAATATGCAAAATCTGCCATGCCCCCTAGCACCGGATGTTTATATATTAGGATGCGCCGCTTATATTCTTCATCTCTCCATCTCTTATTAACATGAAAATAAAAACAAAACATTAAAGAACATTTAACATTTAAGGTACCGAGAATTTATTCTATCAACATCAAGACTGACATTCAGTTCCGGTTTGCCACAACTCTCATTTCAAGCCGAGTAGCCAATCCAGCTAACTATTCACAAGAGACCCTATTTGATGTCATCCTTCCAGAGGAAGCTTTTATTTCAAACTTCACTCTGTATGTTAATCCGATTAAGTGCAATGATTTAATTTTATACAGTATTTGTATTTTCATTATCAAGCAGTAAACAATTCAATTCTAAATAGTTAAAATATATGTGTACGTATTAAATCAAGTAAGACATAGTCAGATCAGAGATATTATGCAGTTTGATGTCATGAAAAGCACTGAAAAGTGCAACATATCTCACCCGCCCCAGCACCGACCTGTCACCCGGTTGTTAAGTTGACATATGGCTTTAAATGTTTCGACCTAACTAAAAGCACAACCCTTGCAACCAATAATTGATCTACTAGTAGCTGTTAAAGATGTTAGGTTAATGTGTAATTGAGTTTTATAAATGAACTTTAATATTTTACTTTCTCTAAATTATGGATGTTTTATTACTATTCTAATGATAACAATATCTTTACATTATATAAACACTTTTGTAATTGCTGTATTAATTTGGAAAACATTTATGTTAATTGTATTTTTTCCAGAGAAATTGATGGTAAGATCTATCCAGGAATTGTAAAAGACAAAGATGAGGCCAAAAAGGAGTATGAAAAAGCAAAGAAAAAGGGAAAGACGACGGGGCTTGTCAGTCAAAAGTAAAAACTACAAATATATACCTGCAATTTCATTTATTTTTTAGTGCCGCTGATAAATTATAGTATAAAGACGAGACTATTTTGCGGAAATATAATGGCATGGGGCGACATAAAATATCTCTTTTACATAAAAAAAGCTAGAACATTTTCTATTATGATCTCTGTATGGGCTCTTGCCAAGCAATTATTTTGGCACTGTACAAACTATTTAAACGTTTTTAGTACAAGTTGTATTCTTAATTGAAAGAATATAATTTTTTGTTCAGATATTTTAATTCTTCAGAAAATATGATAAACAACTTTTTTACCAAAAACATGATATATTACCGGTATGTATTGTTTGGTTTTATTAACCTGTCAATTACATACTGATTACACGGTCGATGCACACAGTATATTAATCTTCGGTAGATGTTCGGTAAGTTCCGTGTGATGTACGCTGTACGATGAAATTTAATTTGATTTGTATCTCTAAACTAAGTGTACTCAGCGTTATAGCGCAATAGGTTAAATTACGAGTTTATAATCTAAGTGCCACACGTGTTTTAAGTTCGAGGCCGCGTTGGTCCATGTTTTTTTTTCTTATTAATACTTTCAACATTATTGAATCTATATATGATTATTTTATGTTGTTCGTTTTGTTTGATTATGTTTTACTTAATTTTGTTATAATGAATATACTCTTTTTAAATAACATGTTTTTTAAGAATTCATGTTTAAAATTAAAACGGATTAAAATCAATAAATGTCTTTTCAATGCCGTAAAACACACTACCGATCTGTTCCATTAAAATATACTGCAAAAATAAAGAAAAAGTACTAAAACAATGGCAACAGTAAGGATCGAACCAGATACCTCTCAATTATCAGGCATTCTCTTTACCGGCTGTCCTATTGTGAATTGATAGCTGATACTCGATCGACATTTGCCTTGTCTAAGACATACAGGTCTTCATAATTTGTTTTTTCCTCTTTTTTCTTTTGAGCAACAAGCATAAAAGTCCATATGACACACTTCTGCTTGTTACTCAGATTTGTGTCAATTACGTTTCGTATTTTTAAATAACTGTTTTCCTCTTTAATAAAGATGAAATGTTCAAGCTAGATTAAGTACTTATTTCCGTTTACTTGATATGAAGTGCTATGAAACGCTATCTCGTTTTTAACTAATACCACTTGGTACAGAAACATGGTGTGTTTTTTTTGTTTCAAGTTTTATTAAATCATTTGCGCAATGGTGCGAACTTTTTAGTACACTAAGTTGATTCATCTGAGGCACATGTCGAGATGCATTCGAAAAATTCCTTATATACATGTATTTCAGGCCACGAGACTCCAGAACATTCAAGGTCAGGGTCTCGGTCGCAGCTTTCAGCAAATCTTCCTTCAATCTAACCTATCAGGAACTTCTGAAGCGAGTTAAAGGGGCTTACGAGCACAAAGTATTTATTAACCCAGGCTACCCTGTTGACGATATAAAGGTATATTATACTCTAGGCAGCATCAATAACAGCTAACAAATTATTGGTAAATACCTTGGGATTATGACTTTATTAAAGTCCATGTAGAGTTATGCTTCAGACTATCCGTAAATGATTTGGTTTTGAGGTTCATAGACAAGGTCTTCACACCAGATTATTAATGTATTTTCGCAATCGTTTTTTTTCTTTTTTTCATCCATATAATGTTTGTTTCTCTCCATTTTGTTTTCATTACAGATAAGCGTTGCCATTCAAGAATCACGTGATATAACACGCCTGACAGTTCCACCAATCAAATCACTGAATGAATTATTAACAGCTGATGTAGATTTTACAGGTACAAATGAAATTTATCATTTGTTATGAGACATAATAAATTTAAAAATAATACAGAGTTATTTTGCAGAACACAAAACAAATCTAAAATATCACTGTCAATACACTATTATTTTTGAAAGACAGGCGATTTTTCAATTTGCAATATAGTGATAACCAGACAGTTCAATGAAATCTAATATACAGTTGGTGCAACTAACCAGTTAGTCAAGTCGCATTTAATTTCACAATAATTGTAGAAAATGATCTTGCTGTGATAACAAGACCCACAAAAAGAAGCGCATACATTCAATATTCGGCTTCGAGAAATGATCAAAGCACAGAGGGTTTGTCCGGTCAATTTATTGTACAGTACGATATCGACAGGTCACTAGACGGCGGAGACGTTCTGGTTAGTCTATTTTTGCATATCAGAGTGGTTTTCCGTTAATTTTACCTAGTCCCGAAATTGCCTCTGGCATGCGGTACCAGGTGAGTCACGTCCTACAAATTGACGTCATTTTAATGCACTCTGTGAATGTACTGCATTGAAATTACGTCTTTTTTGGCGTTGTTTGGATTGGTACTGTGTGCCGAGGATGACGTCATTATGAATAAAGTGCTAAATTCATACGCTACTGCAATGAAATAGTAACGGTTAAACTGATTGTCATGAAAAGAAATATTGAGGGAAACCAAAATATGTTATACTTATGTTATATTTATGCAGAAATGAAATAATATTATGTTATAGTTTCTTAAAGTTTTGTTCGAAACATATAGAATATTCATCAAAATGACAAATAAACAATCATTTTATATAGGTTTGATGGACACTGCAGAATTTTTTTATATAATCTATCAAAATGCTAGCTATCATACATGTTTTTTTCATTACCAATCAGTATTGTGACTTATAATGTAATTGTCTCACTTGGCTTTGAGCTTAAATAAAATGTGTCTTTTTTATGTGCATTGTGCTTCAAAAACTATATATGTCGACATTTGATTTGTTGTGATTTTCCAGGTAGTGAATGGGTATTTTGTGCATTTTTTGGCGCCAGATATTCAAAAGGCAATCCCAAAAGACGTTCTCTTTGTGTTGGACATAAGCGGTTCAATGAGTGGGCGTAAAATAATACAGCTAAAAGTAAGTGCAGCGTGAAAAATATTATACAATGAGCGGGCGTAAAATAAAACAGCTTAAAGCAAGAGTGTAAAGGCTGTTACATTGTATGCAGTAAGCGAACGTAAATCTCACAGCATAGAATGAGCGATGTATAGTCGACTTAACAATATTTTGTGATATAAAAGGTCAAGTTTTTCTAAACATTTGGTTTCCTGTTACAATTTCCAAAATTACACTTACAAATAAAAAAAATAACCACCTTTTGCTTCGTGTGCTTTTTGGGGGCAATTAGTACAGATATAGTATTTTGGTATTTTGTATAGAAGGCAAAATACCAGTTTGTTTTTATGACAAATAATTTTACATTCAATACTAAATATTCGCGCTAAATATATCCGATGAAAGTATGGTACTTTACATGCTTCTATATCATTAATAAAACACACCTTTTCCTCTTATTAAAAAGACTATAATTATATATAATCATTCATTTCTGAGGTCAGGTCTGTTGTAATTTGAACCTTCCACAATTTTCTTCATTAAAATGTCCAATATTGCATTACTCCACATAATTTAGATATACAGTTCAGCGAATTATGTTTTAAAATAATTTATCAAAATAAAGTAATTCAGGCATTACCTCATTTATGCATTGCCTGCATTTTTTTGTAGGAGGCGATGTATGTCATATTAGATGAGCTAGAGGAAGGGGACCGTTTCAACATTATAACATTCAATGGCAATAGCAAACAATATAAATCCGGCATGATCGATGTGACAAAAGACAGCTTGTTCAAAGCAAAAGAATTCATACACTCAGTATATGCCAATGGATGCAAGTGTTTCTTTCATTTTCATACTTTACTGATGGCATATCATGGGAACAGTATCTTTGTGACATAAAATCTAAATGAAGACATTGAAAATGAAAGCGAACCAACCAATAGAGATAACGTTAATAGAAAATTTAGAAAAAAAAATTAAACAAAAAAAGTTTTTTCTCCTATATCCAATTTTAATAACGTTACATTTTATTAAAATTAAACGTGTAAGCCGCGCCTAGCATAAACAGCCGTTATCGTATAATTAATTATGCTGATAAATATGACTTCAAAGTTGCTTCAAAATATCAAAAGAATACTAAATAAACCTAGTAAAGATGAATACCTTTTTTCTTTCTACACTGTTATGTTTTTTCGTATGAACTAAAGCTGATTGTATTACAGGGACTGATATAAACAAGGCTGTTTTGGATGGAATTGATGTACTCAAAGTATCCAAACAAGAAGGGGAGCGGTCACCGATCGTCGTATTTCTGACAGACGGACATCCAACATCAGGTGTACAAAATGACCAGCAAATCTTGCAGAATATTAATAGAGATAACGAAGGTGAAATTTCTGAAGACATTTAACGTTTTTTATCGTTAATAAATGAAATCAAAATAAATAAATATATAGCATCACCTGTATTTTAGGTGATAATTATATAAACATTTACCTATTGATCTTAACCCGATTTCATATGGTTTAAATGAAAATACCTTTATGTATGTCTGTCGACCGAACATTGATTGAATCTCCTAACATATGACCACCAAGCATACGTCTACATGAAAACAATGGCTCGTGAACTGCCATTATTTATGCTAGCCTATAATGAACAACGTAGGTAAAAGATTCTTCACAGTATCACAGGGGAAAAAATGATAAAATAAAATAAATTTTCGTATTATAAAACTGTGAATACAATGTAAACAAGTGTTCTCGTTTTGTTGTATCATTCAGGCGAAATACCGATATTCAGTTTGGCGTTCGGTAGTGATGCAGACTGGAGTTTAGTGAAAAAAATGGCCATTCAAAATGACGGTGTTGCCAGAAAGATATATGAAGATTCGGACTCCGATTTACAGGTTAGTACATGTTTACATATTTTGTTTCGTAACATTTTCAAAATAAAACAAGGCTTTACAACAAATCCTAGACACACAAATGTTGTTTTTTACATGTTCATGGTTTCTTAAATTAATTCTGAATATCAAACATTAAAAAAGCCTTTCCCAACAAAATTGAAAACCAAAATTAATATCACAGAGACGTGTTTTAGTTTTGTTTGTTATTCAAACCAATCCGCGGCTTCCGTTTTACAATTTGAATGATCTTTATATTTTATATTCATATATGTTTTTGTATATCTACCTTAGTTATTATTTATTTATTAATATATTTATTCTTTAAGATCCCAACTGAGTTACCCTGTTTATTATATATATATTTTTTAATCAAAGATAAGCGGTTTCTACGATGAGCTGGCTGTTACTTTACTTAACAATGTTACTGTGAAATACCTCGGTGACTCTGTGGAAGAACAAAGCCTGACCAAATCGGAATTTAAAAACTATTTTCAAGGATCTGAACTCGTAGTTGCGGGGAAGTTGAACGACGCTGGTGCCCCGACAGTCAACATGGAAATTCTAAGTAACAGCGTTGAGGGCTCTTTAATTTTGACAGGTGAGTTAAACAAGTAAAAGGTCAGTATAAATATGAAAATATGATTTACAATTCTGAAAGAGATGCTCGAAAGCAACTACTAGAGTCTGTTATTATTTGTTCCGAACGAACATGTAACTCAGCTATTTTCTTGCCATCAATTAAATCTTTCATTTTAAGAGAGATAAACTTGCGCTCTGTAGGCATTAAAAATACCAATATGAAATATTAACGATGAAAGATTGTAAATTTGAATGTTGTATGTTTTGCGTTCAATTCAATACATTTCTCACTTTTTACTGGATATTTAAATTTGAAAACCAGTATTCATTTCCAGGTGACAAGGACTTAAACTTCATAGATGTATCAGATACCGAAAATTTAATGGATCTCTCCGATTTCCAAACAATTACCGAGAAGACTTGGGCATACCTTACCATTAAACAATTACTTAACAGGGCCGATGGGGAACTGAATAAGACAGCAGTTGACATCATGAAGAGTAAAGCTAAAGAACTTTCTCTACAGGTAATTTAATTTAAATAGTTACAAGGCAAAACTTTGAATGAGAAATGTTACGAAAGAAATCTATGTTAAATAAGAACAAAATCTAAACATCTTCTAATAAGCGTTGTTTGCACTAGATAAATGAAAATTTTAAATGTCTGCTAACAATCGAAGAGAATGTAGCAGATCCCACTGGATGTTGCTTGTTCTTGGATGGCAGTTATAAATGCAAGCAATGGTCAGTTTCCGTTGTCTAGGAACTCGTTTGACAAAAGGATAAAAAAAAACTATATGAAAAAGAATAGAAATTATATGAAAAATATCCGCAAATGTGTTAATATTAGACAGGGGTCATGTGTTCATGTCACCCCCATTGAAAACGGTAAAAGGTCTCAAAATAATTGAATGTGTGTCTCCAGAACGAGAAGATAGAAGGACGAAATTATAGTTCATAATGGACAAACAATAACTTCTTTTGTTACCACCCTCTACCATGAACAGTTCAACAGTTAGGTGTATACATTTATACGAGCGTATATTCATAAGATTGACATGTTGGCATTGTTTTAGATAATGGCGTTTAATAGTAAACTAGGACGAATACATTAGTCATAATATAAAAAAATAACAAATTTTAATCGCGGTTGTCCTTGTTAAATGCTAACTAGATCTTCATAACACTTCATTCATCTTGTTAAGAAGTGAAATCGTAAGCAGCATGAAGAAATGTAAGTAATGTTGCAGGAAAGTAAGAAGTTATATTTTGCTTTATAAAGCATTAAATCACATTTTGTCAATGATGAAATTTTATGGACTTGAAGTACGAAAGAAGTATAAGGGATGATCCAAAATAACGAAGACCTTTGCTGTAAATGTTATATAGATCATTCTATCGTATTCAAAATAACACCATCATTGGAATATATACGGTATATCCTTAAAAATATAAGAAAAATCAGAATCATTAAAAACTACGAAACAATGGACATTGTGGTTTTCCCAGCTCTTGTCGTTGCTCATTTCTTAACGTGGTTGACGCCGCAACATTTGTTGTAGTTTTTCACAACAGATAAAATTGAAACGAACTAAAGATACATGCTTCGTTTTTTTCCTTCTGCTGTTGAATGTACAGAGGTAACGCCCGATGATGGACAAAAGATGAAATAGGAATTTGAAGTGCAAAAGAATGATCTTCTGTCTCCTGATAAGTTAGATAACAATTTTTAAAATCATACTCATTACAAGTATTGTTCCACAGCTAAATCTTAGTTTCTAGATATTCATTTAAAATCATTATGATTTCAGTATGGCTTTGTAACACCTTTGACTTCGATGGTCGTCACAAAACCTGAAGTGGATCCAAATGAATGGAGACCACCTACCAGTTAGTAACATATTTTATTCATAGAGTTTTATATTTTGGTCAATAAACGTATATTGATTATGTGCACGGAATTCTGTATGACATCATTAAACTTTTTAAAGGGTCTAGACATTTTATATAATGTGGTAATTCTAATTATTATATTACATAATAATAATAATAATAATAATAATAAACGTTATTGTGTGGGTTATATTACTATGTGAGTGACGTGGTATGTAAAGGGCGCCGTATTGGTGTGTTAGACTTTGAACCCATTGTAAATAAATATCACGGATGCCCAATTTTCTATAAGATACTGTGAATTTGTTTTCAACATTTACTTAACATAACTCTTTTATCGTGACCTAACTTTGCATTTAAGTTTTCAGAATGTGTTTGATAAAAGTGTTGTATATGTTAATAGGAGTTTTTAGAACAAATATAGAACAATATACTATGAACATTACTTTCTTTTAAATATTCAGCAACCACGACTCCAAAACCGACAACTGCGAGATCCTACCACCGGTATGGAGGTGGAGGGTACGGTGGCGGTGGTGGTAAACTATATTTTCTATATAATTATATATTATGTAAAATGTTAAAAAAATCTCAAAAAAACTTATTTGTGGCTTAATATGCTCGATGATTTGAACACAAATACTTCTACAAGTATCTGAGAGATCTCAGACACTTTTCGTATGTATCACATTCTTAAAAAATTTGATATAGATTTAAATGAAAGAATCAAGACCTGTGCAGATTTAAAATAAAACGATAAAGTATTGCATTTTCAGGAGGAGACCCTCACTATATGATCCGCATAAAGAATATGGAGCATCCGATCTGCTTTGATGTACAAAGTAATGACGGAGAAGTACATAATCTAATAACAGATCCACGAAATAGTACGTTATAGTTAACTTAAATTTTATAATGAATCCACGTATATTTCCCGGTGAATTTATAAAAAAAAACACAGTTTAAACCTAAACCCTGTAAGGGCGCCACCAACAGAATAGTTACCTGTCCTTTTATCAGTGAATAATGCTCTATCCTTAGGTTCTCTGTTCTTGAATTACCCATTCCCATTAGTTATTTAGCCATGACTACTGCTTTTGGACGTTTAGCATTTTTGTCTCCCAATGCTGATAAGGAAATCGTGTGGGATTAGTTGTCGCTTACTTGTGGAGAACTGGCAACTACTAGTTATTTTTCCAGTCCAGAAAAGCGTATTTGATGAACAGGCTAGGACAACAATTTATTTTCATTTTATGATGAAATTTGCAAATACTGTCTCGTAAATGTAAAGTATTGTCTAGCACAAAAAACAACAAAAGCGCATGCCAACAGGTTAGACAATCGAATTAAAATCGTTCAAATTTTTTAAATATTGTTCACTTTAAATTTTTATTTCATAATTTATTTGTAGACTAGGTGATATTTTACATACAAAATATAATTGTATTCAAGAAAATAAAGACATACACATCTACTAAACATACTTATTATAATCATGCTCGTATTTTTTCATAGAAATAACTATAAACACACAAATCATAAGTGGGTTGATGGGAACTGATGGTGAACCCAAGACGTACATCGGTGAAGTGTCCATTAAAATGGCACACCACATACTTGTGATTACAACAAGTGCAATCATATTTGATACAAAGGTATTTTATCATTCTTTCGCATAATGGCTTTTTTGATTTCATATAGCTATACAAAAAATCGATGTTATAGTCAAGCATTTCAAATCGTGATACTGGCAAAATAAGCAATGGATTACTGCTCCCAGTTAATAATCTCAGGATTAAGCATAGACTGGCGCATTTCATGTATCAATAACTTAAAGAAGTGTAATATTGTAAATATTTTATAGTTAATACAGGTCAGATAAAAGATGGGCGTAACAGTGAGGAAAATGTTTTAATAGGATTATTTTCTGACCTAAACATTTAATGGAAATCAACTTCATTCATTAATGGTATTTTCGGTGCAATCGTTCGTTTTTCTTTCAATACAAGGGAATATGTTTCATTACTATTAGTAATATTATTGGTAATGATAATGATACATTAATTTGTATACATGAATGATATAAACCAGTTTCCTAGGTTTGGTGAACATATTCCTTTCACAATTTCTAATAAATGTCTTAGAAATTGAAAGAAAAATCATTGTTGTCAACATTTAAGTGTTGTAAAATACCATATTGGAACATAAGATTAATTTGGCATTGAAGGTTTTCCCATGGACAGAAGAGAAACTGAAACATTTTGGTGGTCACGAATTTATGCTGTCTGATCACGGTCTGTTACTTACAATACGGTTCAAGTTTGGAGCGGAAATACTTATCAGACGACATGTACACAAATCAACCGATACAAGAGCCAATTATTTGAACATCTATGTTAAACACGAAGATTCATTCAACAAAAAGACAACTGGGTTGATAGGTATTTATAATACAAACAAAAGGTTATTTGTTATTTTAAAGGAATTCTTTTTTATCACTTTTTACAATACGTACTGATTTTATTAGTATTTAAAAGACAAATTGAAAATGTAGACAAATACCCCTCAAATACACATAAAGATGTTTATATTTTTCATATTTTACAGGTCAGTTTGTCAACGGATTTAAGCATATTTATCTCCGCAAACTGTTCAAAAATAAGAGCGGACAAACAATGGCTAAACTGCAAATAAAGGAGGGAGAGAAGTTCCCATCAATTAGAGAAAATCCAATCGACACAAAGGATGGAGTAAGTCGTCAAAGAATTCCTGCACGTCTTATTCAGCGGTCCGAAGTTATTGAAAAGGGAACAGAAATGTGCTGGATGGTGCACAAAAAATTCATAGAATCGCTCATTGGCAGCCGTGAAGCTTTTCTTAAAGACGACTTCATTGATATTGAATAAAGATAACACTTATTCAAATGAATACTTTACTGTTTCAACGACATTTTAGTATTAAATGATTACTTACTTATACACATTTTTTCATAGTAAATGTTATACATTTATCCTAATCACTGTTTTTGTCATTTAAGTATCATACTATTATGACTATCACATATTTATTATACTTAGAAATTCTGACAAATGTATCGTCATCTTTCTCATTCTAAGTTTTGTCGTATTAAATCTCACAAGCTTGCTGTATATTCTTGATTTGTCCTGTTTGGAATTTGAATCGGCAATTGCTGATATAAGAGATGCTGTAAATCCAGCACAGTCAGGTCAACATGTACATTTGTGTCGCCGGCCGGCAAACCATTTTAATAGTAAAATGGTATTAAGAATTTGTTATAGACAACAATGTAATTTTGTTTACAAATTTTACAGAAACAAACATGACGAAAGTTAAAGGGAGACACAGGCAAATTTTCATTTCTTAGTTTTGAGTTTTTCAGTCATTATTCTGTAAATGCCTTAAAAATGAATATATTAGACAGTCAAAGAACAAAACTTTTCTCCATATAAAGAATAAAATGGTGGTTTCCTAATTTGACCCGCGTGGGTCAGGTTAGAGCTCAAGGATTTCACAATAGTTGTCAAAGTAAACTCCGGAAACGTTAAAGAACATGTCAAATGAATGACTTGTTTCAATCATACAATATTCATAATATCTGTTATTGTAACTTCAAAGGTTTGTTAAAGTCATGTGATTTGTTTTAAAACTATTTGGTAATTCTATTCGGGTCGTCTAAATTGTGTTCAACATATATAGATATATTTACGCTTCAAACCCAAAATATTTAGAATTTAAACAGAAATTCATGCTGAAACTTCAAGAAATGTCATTTTAGCATGATTTGAGTACAAAAGATCATTTTAATATTTTTGTCATTATTTTGCCTGAATATCCCTTTAAAGGTTTAACATGTTGTTTTTACTATTTGTGTGAAATACATAAAAAAGTTCCAAAGCATCGTTCTTATTTTGCTAGCTGAAAATGAAACATTGATACATTGATCAATGGCGTGTTATATATTCATTTTCCAATGAAGGTACAATATAAGAGAATATTGGGAACAGGTTGCAGGTTCGAATCTCTGAGGACATTGAATGTTGCTACCTAAAAGACGAGTTACTTTAAGAAAATACAACAATATTATTGTAATATATTAATCAATTTTATTTACTTGAAGCATTTTATTTCCATCATGACTGAGTACAAAAATAATATTCGAATTACAATTCAAATCATATTTACTCCAGCAACTGTCGGAAATAGAAAACGTTAAGTTAAATTTCAGCCAAAAAGGGACTCGAAAATAAGAGTATCTTATGTATAACTCAGAACCCCAGTCAGTCAAGCCTACATAACAAATAATAATTATAAGTAATTAAAAAAAACAACATCAAAAGCAGTGAGCAATTACATGACCGTTTAATCATATGAAAAAGATAGGGCTATTGTGTTCTCTAAAGGCCTGATTGCTGCGTAGATATTGTTAAGCATACTGTAATAACCAACAGACGACAAGTGTGTATCGTCATAGGTATAAAACATTTGGGCTAAAGTTATATTTTGAAATTTCAGATAATGGCCAACACGATTTAAAACATAAGTTGCAATTATTGTATTGTATTATATTGACTGTTTCGGCGAGAAGATTTTCGCTAAATTATTTACTTCAATTTTAAACAACAGGTTTATCCTGAACAAAATACCTCGAAATTAGTAAGGATTACAAACTCGGAATGCAATGGAAGTTCTAAATTTAGAATGACTGGATTTTATTCAGGCATTATTTATATAACTTCTCCGTGGTGCATGGGTAACGCCCTCGTCTAGTGTGTGAAAGGTCTGGAGTTCAAATCCCAGTCGATGCAACTTTTTTTTAAATTCTTTTTTAAGTGTCTTTGTTAAGGAAGTAGCCATGATATGCAAGGATAAAGTGTGGCTGTCATAAAAATGAACATAAATGATTTTTTTGATGCAACTCTATATGAAGTTATGCAAAATTCCGTATGTATCAAACTCTGGTGCCTTGCAAGATGAATTATAGTACATAAAAATAAATGAATACAGGAAAATACATACAGATATACAGTACGATTTAGATTGCAAAGATCAGAAAATACGACAGAGCTTGCAGCCCTTTGATATAGTTTTGTGATCGCTCGGGATGCTGAACTTCAGACATATAACGCAACGATCACTTTGGTAAAATCTGTGCCCAGAATAGTTTTGTATGTAGGAAATCGCGCCTGGTGTTTTCTATCGTGGTACTGGCAAAAGAAGCTATGGACTACTGCTATGAGTTCTGCTATGATTACAACAGATGGTTTTGTTCGGCCAATATCAAAAAATATTACACCATACATTTTATTTGACAGATTGGGTTACATGTCCTGACAAATTAATGATAGACTTAAAGTTAACCTCACCTGATCTTCATGTACAGTTGTCATGAGTTTCATAATAAGTTTACCGGATTCTGACAATTTGTCCTCTGGGTTTGCCATCCTTTTTTATTTACGGCACTGGCTAGGCTCACACCTCCACTCCAGTGTCACTGAGGCCTTTTGAACATGAAAATACTCAGCTTTAAGTCGCTTCGTCAGTCTCTTTGTGCTATACAATCATTTTCAAGCTTCACGACAATTGTAACGTTTTTATATAATTAAACTTATTGAAAACTATTATATATAAAAATTAAAAAGTATTTTTTTTCTTTTTTGGCCGCCAAGTATAAATGAAAAATAAACTTCATAACTATCAAATTTAAGTTGACGTTATTAACCAAGAGTACTCTCTTAATACCAAGGCAGAAAGATTTCTCATTCTACTTACAAATAATTAGAAGAAAGTTATTCTGACGAAGAACATTTTACTGTGTTTCAATTGAAAAAGGTTTATTTATTTTCTGTATGCATATTTTTCATTTTAGAAAAATTATTTTAATAATGTTCAATGCTCTAAAAGATTAATAATCCAAGTGCAATTTCACATTTTTTATGCGAAACGAGAGCGAAAGGAGTCAAACACATAACAAAAATAATTGATAAAGAAAGCGAGAGGACGTACGTTTTCTAGGGGATAGTTACACGCTAACTTTATTTTAAAATAGATCCACATCTTCAACTTTCAAAAAATTTAAACAAACTTGAATTTCACTTACATTGGATACTGTTTATCGTTTAAACATGAATAAAATTAACATGACATTACTACAGAAAGTTAGCTGCTTACGAAATATGACTACGAATAAAACGAGCGACCGGCCTTGAAATGCTTGTGTTTTTTTAAAGAATAGTTTAGCTCGCTGTAGTATATATTTGCTGCTCGTTGTCTGGTCTATTGTTATGCAAGATGCAGGCATTCAGTAGTTACCGTTTTTGTGGATTTTTCATCATATGTTCTTGCATTACGTATGTGGCGATTGGACAGTTGTACGATGTAAGTAGAAGCTATTTTTTTAATTTAGATTATTTTATAGATCGAGTTTTTCAGGGTTATTTTTAGGTGGTCCTTATTATGGAGCAGAAATTGGGTATTTATTCGCTGTTTATCTTTCAATTTCTATTTATCTTATTTATATTTGTATTCATTAAATTCTTATCTTTAATCATATAAATTTAAACTGATTTAAACAAGTTAAATTGCTAATTTTTAATTGACTGTTAAACATTTATATTTTGATACTGCAGAATGTATGGATGAGATATTAGATTAGATATTATGTTGCATACTTCTTCCTTTTCGATTTGAATAATTTAGTTTTAACTTATGATCTTGAACGTCCTTTCTTTTAAGAATACAAAGTGGGTTACATAACACTGAAATAAAATCTATACGAATGCACCTTGACGAATACGAACTGTAATAACACGAACACGAAATTACATTTGAAATTTAAATTTATACATCTGGCCGGGAATCAATATGACCGTACAAGTCCGTAATTTCTGACGATGTATCTGTTTAACAGCATTTCATGAAAACATAAATCCTAAAGCAAAGTGTTTCCAATTCTTAAATTTGTATCCTTTCAGAGAAAAAAAATGTTATTTAATAACTTTACAGGAAAACCCAAATCTAATGGAAAGGGTTTTCATTTCACAATTTTTTATCCTTTTAGAAAAAAAATAACTGTCAGTCATGATATATGGTTCATGAGGCTCTAGTGAAAATTTGTGATATGAGGGACTAGAAATAATTATCCGTTTTTCATACCATTTTATGTTGATATTTTACTATTTACTTATGTGCAAAAATTTCAGATATTCAATATCCTTTAGAATAATCATTTTTATGGTGCAAAATGACCTGAAAATGAAAAATTTTAACGCTAAATCAAGCTAAGAGTAGCACCTTAATACCAATTTCCAATTAAATATCGAGTATATTTCTTCATCTGTTTCATAGTTTTCCGTTTAAAGTGCCTCATTTTATTTTTGTATGAATTCCATTTTTTTATTATCTTAGGCTTTTGTGCCAATTTAATCATTAAAAAAATACCGGTAAAGACCATATTGTATATGTATATCAATAAATCGTAAAGGGAAATTGTATTTAATGATCTTACTCAGACTAGCAATTCCCGCAGCCGAGGTTCGCAGACCTTATGCTCTTTTCGCTAAAATTTGCATTAAGGAGAGTTATGATGAGGGAATTCCTGTTTCAAAATATTTAGTATACTGATAATATAATAAATGTCATAGTAAAGAAGATTTTGATATTTTTAAGAAACAAGGTAACAAGGTTACTTTGTTGATTAAAAAAGCTTAGAATTTTTGATAATGCCATTGAAAAGAACAAGGACTTAAAGTTTGTATGGAAAAGTCTGCAAACTGAAAAGAAGTTTCTTACATCAATCAAATTAAACGAATAACACTTCCGTCTAAAATTTAAAGACATATGATGGAGTAATTTATTATGAATTAGAAGTTATCACTGAACTGAACATTTGATCAATATTTCATAACCAAAACGTCTTTTTTGTGAAAGTAAAAAAGGGATACATTGCTAGACACTCGCCTATTTCAATATTCCTTGAAATAAAGTGAATTATTTCAAAATCGAACACACATAAATGTAAAGGCCTTAATGGTATTGACCCCGCAATATTAAAAAGTTCTTGGGATTCTATTATTTCTTGCATAACATTTATTATAACTAATATTCATATTTGTATTTTACCAATCAGGTTACCGTTAACTAGCATTGCAATTTACAGAAAGATTTAACTTATATAAATAATTGGTATATTCTCAATAATATGTTCTTGCACCCAATTAAAACATTAAAATTGGATCTTCAAAACAGGTGAAGAAAATCCATCTTCTACTGAAAGTAAATGTTACAACCCAAGAAAATAATACAATTCTGAAAATATGAAGTGGGACGACAGTTTGTCGATATGAAAGTTATTGGGAATTTATGTAGATAATATATTAAAAACAGGAGCTATCAAATAGACACTTTTTGCAAAAAAAAAACTAAATGCAAAAATTGCCCACTACAAACAAATCACCTTCTTCCTTACTGACGAAGTAAAGAAAATAAAAAAAACAACGCGTACAATCTTTCAGCGCTTTATTTTGTTGTACAGTACGAGGAAAGGGCATAGTGTCGTACATAAATTAAGTGAATTCAATCCAAACAAAATAGAGCTGCCAAAATAGTACTTAACCGACCGATACGTTCACCTGGCTGTAACTGAATTTTAAGGGTGAAATACCACACATTAATTATGGTGTTTAAAGCTTTAATCAAATCTGGCACTGTTATATATGAGTGAAATATTTTACAATAAATAACATATTTTACACTCAATTGCTCATAAGTATGTTATACTAAGTTAATGGCTTAAAACAAAAACAAATAAATGTAAAATATTTTATTCATGTAAATAAATAAATGTTTAGATTAAAAAAAACTATCGCCTTACTATCTCTTTGTATGAAAACCAGTCCATCCTATAAATCCCGTCTAATACCATCCACTTCTAACGTTTTGCATTTCTACAGCAATACCCTGCTGTTGAATATTTCTTCGGGTTTTTTTTTGTGTGTGGTTTTTTTTGAAATTAGAAGTAAACAATTCCGCTGCAGGAAATTAAGCAAACAAATGTAAGCTAAGATCCGGGTCTGGTCTAAATAATCTAAACAATTCGGTCATGTAATTCGTCCGTAGATTTATACTTTAACTTCATTGGTGTAATTCAATTTGAAACGTATTAGATTGAGTGGTGTTTGTAATACAAACTATTCTTTTCTTCAAGAAAATTATTAAAATGTACTTTTAGGAAAATGTTGGGTACAGCATGTTCCATAAGATTTGAAATTCAAAACATGTGTAATAGTTTTGAACTTCCGTTTACCCATGCCGTTGAAGAAGAAAAAAACCCTTTAACGCAGTTTTTCTTAAGGTCTATCTACAAGGATGTTGAAAATTTGCAAAACTATGACGAAAAGATGGAGTGCAAACTGATTTTATTCGGTCTTTACCGCTTAGAATTTGATTGCTTATTTCACCCCTGTGTATAAATTTGAATTCAAAAGGTGATAAACAATAAGATCAAATAAGCATGTGTTGCCGTAGTCAGTTTATCCCGCTACTTGAATTTGGATTTGTCAGCGAGAAGAAAATTAGTGTAAAAAATTAAGGAATACCTGTACTTAAGTACCCATAATAAACAATAATAATTAAAATAATAATATTCTTTATATACGACGTAATTATCATGTACTTAATTTACGCCAATTATCTTTGAATATAGTTTTTTATGACCTTAGACGTAAGTTATCCATATATGCCTAAAAGAAAGTTTCATACAAAAAACGACAACTAGAATTTAAACTTTCTCCATTATTGCTCCACGCCCACATGCGCTATTTGTGTTTAACATTTTTGTGTCTATGGGCCCGATTTTTATTAATTAATCCCTTCGATTTACACCTAAAAATAAATTCGGAAGCAAGAATTCCTTACGATTTTTATTATGTAAAGTCATATACTGGTATCCCCTTCACAGCAAGTCATATCAAAACAAATTTCACGCGAAGGCAGTATAAAATACACTTAAATGCGGTGATTTATTTCTTACATTTGTATTTTCAACAGTAAATTACTAATTATTTTGTAGGACATAGAGGGTTATGTATGTATTTAATTTTTATTGCTGTACTTGAATTCGAGCTATAGATAGATGACCTAGCTTAACATTGCGAATGTCCGCAAAATCTATTTATAGAAGTAGTTTTAGTTTTGACCGAAACGCTCATTCGTGTCGCGCTATGGTAATAAATAACGAACTGGAGAAGTTTGCATGAAATAAATGCAAACATATTCAACAATAAATTGCACTCTTTATAACTTTATCGAAAAACATTAAGTAGGCCATTATATACGAATTATTATATCATAGTATTATCATTTTGAAGGTGTCTTTTCCGTAGGTTCTTTCCTGTAAATTAATAGCTCCTTTCTTTTTAACGGCCCTGATTGCACTTCTGACATTGTTTTGCCGTGAATGTTTAAATCGACCCTGATTTCTCGAATTTGTTCGTTTTAACTACTGTTTTGTATGTTCTAAAGAAAATGCATTTTATATTCTTATTTCAAGCAAGCCTACCAAAGTTCATGGTGAACAATGTTTTTCGTCCACCTATTCATCTATGATATACAATTCTGGTAAATTAGAGTGAAACAAGAATCCTTAAAGAAAGCACAACACGGCAAAATTGAAAATGTTGCAGGCTCGGTTTGATTGAGCCTGTTCATGGACGGAACTGTCAAGTGCAAACTACCGTCCACGCCCCCTAGCACCGGCTTAAGCAGAATTCAACATTTAACATGAACTGGTAAAGTTTAGAATTTTGAAACATCCGCAGATGTGTTCAATCCAATTAACCATTGAAAAGTTTAAAAGAATATCTGGTCATCAGATGTCTACTAGTTCATCCTCACATGTAGCATTTCATGCTTGGACGCCATTTGATGCTTTACATCAATGCCTTTCTTATTATATCATGATATTCCATTTGCCGCGAAACATGAAACGGACATTTTGAAAAATGAAGACGATCAGTTTTTGTTCTTATTTACATATGGATTTTTATATTTCTTTCCATCATTAGTTGTTGATATTTGTAGAAAATAAGTAGCATTATAAGTGAAAAAGAAAATGTACATGCTTTGATATTTTTTATCTCATCTAATATTACTGACTACAATAGTGACACAAACAGAACAATGTTGCACTAAGGTCTTGTCACATTACATTTACAAGTCTAGTAAGTCTTGCTTGTACTGGAATTACTTACCTTACCAGGTAGGCATCAGTGAAAGCATATTTTTTCAATTTAATATCTGGCTCCTCTCTCATGGACAGTGCATACGATAAGCATATTTATGCAAATTTGAATGAATTACAAAACATCTGGAATAATATACAATTGCATTTAATTTAAATAGAAAATGATCTGTGCACAGAAATGATTGTTAAGGTATCTGTAATGAGCGCACTTTCGTTTTTGTGCGGAGCTTCTTAATTTCTGCATGGCGGCAACATTTGTACTTGTTGTGGTAAGAAATACAAGAAAATCTTCTTAAGAGAACCTTTTGTTGCTTTTTTTATGCAGGCGTCACACTGTCCCGAATTTGGCATCAGATGGACACACGAATAAGGAAATGTTCAAATTCGGATCTGATCGTAATAACATCGTGCCATTCGTGAGGGCATCTTTTGCCATCGTATGATCCCCGGCTGAATATTACAAGCTCCGGCAGCAACTTCGTGAGCGGTTCCAAAATCTTTGGCATGCCAAAAAATTGCCCGAAGACATTGCGAAGGTTCATTTTCGTGTTGAATTCGTATGTCAATTTTGCCCTTCGTAAGGCCGTCGTGAAGCCATCTTGTCAAATCGTGTAGTCTTCGTCTTTTCTTCGTGTGATCATCGGTGCAATCTGACATTTTAAGCCTCAAGAAGACAATACGAAGTAAACACGAATATTCCCGATAGTCTTAAAAAGGGAACACGACTACGTTAAGCCCCCGCAATACCGTCGTGCCGCCATCGTATTTTGGTAAGATGGGACCACGATGAGGCCGAAGAAAGCAATATTTAGTGGCTCAAGCGTTGCATGTTTATCATGGTGGACACATAAACGGCTAAACCATCTTCCTCATCTGTCACTCTTGCACATCTCTACAGAGACATCAAAAGCTTCAATTATTTGCAATTAATTTACAATTATTTTCAGTTTATTTCCTGCAGAATTACATGCTTTGATGCGTCAACCGAGAAAAAGAAGGCAGCAGCATTGCTACTTTTAAGACACCTTGGAAAACATAATGAAGCCCACAGGCCCACTTTGAGTGGTATGATAAAGTTTTATCAAATATGATAAACAAGATCAACAAGGAAAGGCAACGTTTAATGAACGCAAGCCCCACACAACCAAGCAACACAAGAACCAAGTAACACAAAAGGACCCCCCAGAAAAACGGACAGGGCGCAAGGTATAGCACGAATAGGCTTATCACTTAAATGATACATAAGACGAAATAATGGTAAACGACAAGGAAATCAAAGAAAACAAATAAATGATTGATTTATTAAATAAATAAAACTAGAGGCAAAAAGGAAAATACTTACCGTAGTCGAGAAAACAACAAGGGACGCCGACAAAAGTGTCACCAAAACAATATGAAATAACAAAGACATGCATCTGAGGAACAAAGAGGGGCACCGCCTTGGACCGGTCAGCAGCAAAAGCACTGCTTGGGAGTTTAAACCGGTTAATAGTGCACCAAAAATCACTCTTAGCCCACCATGTTCCTATAAACGAGACGGTGTAAATAAAATGAATCCCCGCCAAGTAAATTTATAACAGTTGTTATGGTTTCAAAAGGCAAAATAAGTAAAACACCAAGATGATTATGTAGATACATATAAAGGAATACCCATATGACCATAACAAAAGTACTCGATAATTTAAAGGGAGACAGAGTAACAAAAAAATCACCTACAAGGGTCTGAAGAATCAAGGCAGAAGACGAACATCAAGGCAATTCAGTCCCAAAGGGCATTAAGAACTATCCATCATAGAGTTTCCGACCTAGTCCGTCAGATGTAATCAAAAGAGGAAAGGACCAACTGTTAAAGTGTTGAACACTATACATGCGGTATATCTAAAAAGTAGAGTCAAAACCTCTTTTGGTTAAACGTTTAATAATTTTAGTAAAGGCAACAATAACCAAAGATCTTGCGAAGTTTGTAAATAACATCTCCGTTAAAATAATTTTTGAATCACTACTGAATTTTGAGATTAAATCAAAGTTACGATTGTTAAATTTTATAAAATATCTACGTTATTTATAATAGCGGTAGCCCTGTTTGAGTAGCTTGCTAGTAATGAAACTATTTAGCTTGTTAAAATCCTTCACGTTGCTAAAAGCTCTAGCGAGTCTAATTTACTGAGATGCATATACCCCGTCAGATGTTGCATGCGGTACGTCTCCATCTAAATGTGTATAGTTTACTATACCATAATCAAAGTCGGCACTTTTATCACAGATTTTTGTGTGAATAGAATTGTTTTTGATAGTAACATGAAGAGCCAAAATAAAGTTTAAACGTAGTTTAATTAGCTCCCAATACTATCTGCAACTGAAATTTGCCGCGGTTGGCCTTGGGTTGTATACCACCCGGAGGTGAAGGTCACTTGACGCCTTCGTAACCACGTACGAAGGCATCGTACTCAAAATACGACGTCGGGTACCTATCTTGTGACCTTCGCGTGTCCTGCTGGTAAACTACTTTGTACAAAATTGCATCTTTGAGGTGACTTCGTGTGTGTATCGGATGCGATCGCGTGACCTTCGGTAGGAATCGTGTGTGGCTCGGATGCGATCGCGTGACCTTCTGTAGGAATCGTACTTGTTTCGGCTGTTGAGAGACTGTCGACCAATTTCGGGGCTATCTTCGCACGAAATTAAAAATTTCATATTCGTATTTCCATCTGGTGTCAATTTCGGGACAGTGTGACGCCTGCATTAGAAAATAAAGACACCGTAACTTTTTCAATCGATGCAGTGCTTTCATGAGCTGAAGGAATTTTGATTTTATTTGTAATTTTATATAGATTTTATTTGGCGAAGCAGCCGAGTTCGACATTATTAGTTATTTAAAAATTAACTCCACCATAATTTGCCGACGAATTAGGGGCCTTTTATATTTATGGTAATTTAGTATTTGAAAGGAAGTCAAAATACTACTATCACATTTTGCTACTTTTATGATAAATCATTTCAAATTTTACGTTACATTTGAATTATTCCTTTTCATTTAACCAATTCCATGCTCCCAAGCATCTATTTAGGCAGTCTTACGTCTCAAATGACCAGAAAAAAATAACAACACTGAAAAAGGTTAAAGTCTTTAAGGTTGATAGGTTAAATAAGTGTCGCTTATATTTTATAGTTCTTATCATAATATTAAACACAAGAACATTTAATATTTCAGGTACCGAGAATTTATTCTATCAACATCCAGACTGACATTCAGTTCCGGTTTGCCACAACTCTTATCTCAAGCCGAGTAGCCAATCCAGCTAACTATTCACAAGAGACGGTATTTGATGTCATCCTTCCAGGGGAAGCTTTTATTTCAAACTTCACTCTGTATGTTTATCTGATTAAGTGTATTGAATTTACTTTATTCAGTAGTTCATAAAAAAGTAATTTGATTGAGTCTGTACATGAGAGATAATAAAAGGTGCAACCTTTCTCATGCTCCCTTGCATCAGCTTAAGTTGTATTGAATCGTTAACGCTAAAAGTTTTCGGATCAACGATCTCAAAGGACCAGAAAAGAATAGATTTATAAACAAATTGTCTTATCTAATGGTACCGAGCAGCTTCCTTCAGAAAAGTGGTCAACTTAGTCAGTGTTTACTCATTTCAGAACACTGTCCATTTGTTTTATGGTAAGAATGTATCTAGCTGTTTAATGACGGGTCTATAAGGTCAAGCACATTTCTCTGTAAGAGAGGACTCACGGGTTTCTATATGTCTTTTTATAAGACGGGACTTGGAAAAAGTTTTCGAGGTTCAGGTTTGTGTACAAGTACATGTATCTCTGGACCAAACTTTCAGGTTGTTTTTCATTTTCCAAAACTACTCTACATCGGACAAAGAATAACCAAAAAGTATATTCCTTTATCATGTTGTGTTTTTCAATTTTAACGTTTTCCTTCATCGATAAAAAAAAATTCAAATTGTATATTTGTAGGCTTTTTGAACTCAGATGAGCTCCTTAAATATCGACTTCAATATTTGTTCAAAATTATGGATGTTTGAATACACAATGTACTTTCAAATAATGATAATAATACTTTGTATATCATATAAGCAGTTTTGCAATTGATTAATTATTTTTTTAAAAGTTTTGATAATTTTATTTACCAGGGAGATTGATGGCACTATCTATCCAGGAATTGTGAAAGACAAAGATGAGGCCAAGAAGGAGTATGAAAAAGCAAAGAAAAAAGGAAAGACGACAGGGCTTGTCAGTCAAAAGTAACAATTGCAAATATATAACTGCCGCTTCGTTTAAATCTTTTCGTTGCCGCTGATGAACTTATAGTAAAGAGATGAGATAATCATGACATGGAATTACATCAAAGATTTAGCATTAAGTTTTGCATAAAATAAATCAAATCGAGGCTAGTAGATAATTTTCTAGTATAGACTCGGTAGGGGCTGTTGTCATTTTTTTATTTTCGGAATACCGTTAACGTATATCTTAACACGATTCATATACTAGTTGTATTCTTGTTTCTAACAATTCAATTTGTGTTCAAATGTTATTTTAATTTTTCAGAAAATATTATCTAAAAACTGTTTCTTGACAAAAACACAATATGTAAACGTTATGAAGACCTGGCGGGATTGTAATAGTTGATACCTGATCGACATTTGTTTTGTTAAATAAATCCATATCTTCAAAACATTTGCCGTCTTTTTCAATTAAGCAACAAGCATAAAAGTCCATATGACACGCTTCTACTTGTTACTCAGATGTGTGTCAATTGCGTTTGGCATTTCTAAATGGCTATTTTCCTCTTTAATAAAGATGAAATGTATCAGCTTGATTAAGTATTTCTTTCATATACTTGATATAAAGTGTTATGAAGAGCTTTGTCGTTTTTAACTAATACCACTTGGTACAGAAACATGGTGATATTTTGTTTCAAGTAAATGTAATTAAAATTAAAGTCATTTGCGCAATGGTGCGTACTTTCCAGTACACTCAGTTTATTCATCTTTAAGGTCTGAATGTTGAAGATGCATTCGACAAAGTTTATAATATATTTCAGACCAAGAGACACCAGAACATTCAAGGTCAAGGTCTCAGTCGCAGCTTTTAGCAAATCTTCCTTCAACCTAACCTATCAGGAACTTCTAAAGCGAGTTAAAGGGGTTTACGAGCACAAAGTATTTATAAACCCAGGCTACCCTGTTGACGATATTAAGGTATACTCTAGGCAGCATCAATAACAGTGTAACCTTATCTACTCGTATAACAACAAATTAATAAAGTACTTGGGATTATGAATTTATTGAAGTCCATGGAGTTTTATGCTTCAGACTATCCGTAAATAATTTGGTTTTGCGGTTCATAACCAAGCTGTTGGAGACAGATTAATATTGTATCTTTTTCCAATCTTTTTTATTTTTTTTTCATCCATAATTATAATGTTTGCTTCTCTCCATTTTGTTTTCATTACAGATAAGCGTTGCCATTCAAGAATCACGTGATTTAACACGCCTGACAGTTCCACCAATCAAATCACTGAATGAATTATTAACGGATGATGAAGACTTTACAGGTACAAAGGAAAATTATTTTAAGTGAGACAATTCAGTTTTGAAAGAAAATCTGAATGATTTCGCAGAAAATTGATTTAAAATATTACCGTCCATAAACTGTTTGTCTAATTTTGATAATTTTGATGTTTAATTTGTTTTTGCAATATTCTGATAACCAGTTAGTCAAATAGGCTAAATATACCGTTGCTATAACCAAAGGACGGTTACGTAAAGAAATATATGTTTACGTTTTTATGCTTTAGTATAGTGTATAGTAAGTTCACTCCTTAACCTTTTACCCCATGAGCATATTGTGAAAAATGGCCGTTTTCATTGAAAAGCCTCCTGTAACAGGTTCAAACTCCTAGGAAACTATGAAAAATGCTTCAATACTGATGAAACTTGGCACAAATGTTTACTCGACCATAGCCTCCCTTTGTAACAGCATGCTTAATCGCAAATTTACTGTTACCATGGCAACGGGGGACGTCTCAAAATTGCCAAAAATCACTATTTTGGATTGTTTTGTCCATCAAAACTGATTTCAAAGTGCTGCAACTTCTCAATGAATTGAGATAGAGTAAAAGGCTTTTCAGCGTCGGTTACTAGTTACCCTAAGATCGACCTAAGGCCATTTTTAGCAGGTCACAAATCCAAAATTTTCTTGGCGATGAGGGGGACTCCGCCCCCTTCAACCCCCCCCCCAAACACAAGGGGGCACATCCCCCTTCTAGCAACCCCCTGGTGTAACATTTGGATTGGGGGACGGCGCCGGAAAAGTGGTCACATTTTTTAACAACATTTCTCAAACAAAAAATAGTGTTTTGGGCCTAAATAGGGCATTTTTTCACTGTTTGAGGCCTCAAAAAGGGGGTGCAAAAAGCCGTCGAAACACGCTTATATCAGGGAAAAGGTTAAAGCAGCATCCCGTTAGCTGATATGAGAAAATCTACCGACACATCAATATTCTAAAATCAACATTCAATTACATGTATATAAAGTAGCTGAAAAATCAAAATTTGGTAACGTTCAAAATTTATTATTTTTGCTGGTTTGAAATCAAACAACATTTTTTTCTTGCATCGGGCTTTTCATTCTTTTTTATACTTAGGAATTATTTCATCTGGGTTATTTCTAGTTCCCTGTGATGGTAGAGGTCAATATTTGGATCCGTGATCCGTGACGCATGGGATCCGGGGTCGTTTTAAACAAGGAAACAATAATTTTTTTGGGGTTTAATATTTGTAATCATTTGTGGCACTCAAAAGTTATAAGTAATGATTAATATCAAATTTAATGACAAGTATATCGATTTAAACTTTAGTTTGAAATATTATTAGAGCTTTACCAACCTCCATGGTAGCTAAAATTGAAATATTATCCCATAAACCACTGTTGACCATCTTGAATAAATCATATTTTCTATAAATATAGGCTTCTGTGTTTTTAACGTGATCGAACACATTTTATTATTGTTGTTGTTGTTTTTTGTTTTTTTGTTTGTTTTTTTTTGTTAGCCTTAACCTTTGAAATAAGAGGTCAGTAATAATTGTTTTCACAATTAACATTACTAGACCAGTTTCCTTGAAATTTTATTTCGCTACTTTTCATTTTAATATATGTAAGCGTGTGGCTTTAAACATTTTTACGACGCAATCACAACGCATCAAAGTTATGATTTGTTTGAACGAAAAGTTTCTGAACCCAAAGATTTAGTTGCCAGTAATAATTAATAAATAATCAGAACCAAAAATTGTGTTGCACCTGATCAGGTCGTATTTAATTTCACAATATTTGTAGAAAATGATCTTGCCGTGATAACAAGACCCACAAAAAGAAGCGCATACATTCAATATTCGCCTTCGAGAAATGATCAAAGCACAGAGGGTTTGTCCGGTCAATTTATTGTACAGTACGATATCGACAGGTCACTAAACGGCGGAGACGTTCTGGTAAGTATATGAAAGCTAAACGACGTGACAAGAGCTTATTTATCATGTTATAGTGTACCAATGATAAGTAAACTAGTTTTGTAGCAAAACATATATAATATGTACATGTATATATGACCAAATAAGATCAATTAAACGAGATAAGATTATGACACTGCAACTAATCACATTTGTAAAATGCTTAATATTAAATTGCTTACTAGCATATATGTTATTTTCATTTTTCAAACAGTATTTAGATTAATAATGGAATTGCCTCAAGCTTGATTAAAAAACAAAGTGTCCAAATTATCAGTGTCTCGATTTTAAGCATTGTGAACAATGCTCTACGGTATCAACATCTTATTTCGTTTTTTTTTCCTGCATTTGTACCTGTAGTTGATAGTTGCAACAATTTTATTTAACAACGTGTTTTGGTTATGAAAATTACATGATTTCTCCTATGTGGTATTTTTTCAGGTAGTAAACGGGTATTTCGTGCATTTCTTTGCGCCAGATATTCTAAAAGCAATCCCGAAAGACGTTCTATTTGTGATAGACAGAAGCGGTTCCATGTTTGGTCGTAAAATCGAACAGCTTAAAGTAAGTACCGCGCAAAGATTATCATACAATTTCAGAGGACGAAAATGCAACAGATTAAAGTAGGTAAAGTGTAAAGAATGCTATGCAGTGAGAGAGCATAATACAAGAGCATAGAATAGGTGACGTATAGTGATATTTAAGTCCCCAATTGAATTGCCAAATTTTCGTTCCCAAAATTTTGCTTGCTTGTTCTTTTTTCTTGTCTTTTTTCTTGTTGTTGTTGGTTTTCCTTTTCTGCAACTAGTTCAGCAATAATATTTATATATTTTTTGTATTGAGGACAAAATATCTCTTCGTTTACCTTTTACTACCTTTATGACAAATAATTTTACATTCAGCGCTATTCATTGCCGGTAGAAAAGAATTTATATGCTTTTAATCCATTATAAAATACATACTTTTTTCTTTTAAATAACAATAAATTATATAATATTATTTATTTCTGAGGCATAGTTTCATAATTTTTCTCATTAAAATGTTCAAAAATACATTCTTCAGACTCCATCAAACCGAGTCTGCAATTTTCACTTTGTTTCCAGTTTTTTTTTACATTACTTAGATCTACAGTTCAGCGAGCCATGTTTAAAAATAATTGTATCATCAAGTAAAAAGTTAACTTTTTCAAGTTTATGTTCTATTTCACTTGATTCTTGTTTTTTTGATTGTAAATAACTTTAGTTATAATTTCCTTGAATTATGTACTATGTATCTGTATATAAGTAAAACCCTGTTATACTATATTACAATGACTATATGAATATATTGTATGTATTATTATCTTAACGGTGTCTGTTAATTTTGTTTATTTCTTTCTTATTATTATTTTCTATATTTTGTACATGTCGGATACAAGTTTAAAGCTTATGTTTTGTACTGTTTCCCATAACCGACAATACATAAAGTTTGACTTACTGTCTTACTGTCTTAAGTAAACCCTTCTTAGTCATTTAAAATTACCTGTTTTTCAGAAAAGGGTTTATATCTTTAGATGGGTTAAAAAGGGGGCCCTTTCAAATTTATAAACATTCAAAGCATATCAACAATATAAAAAGGGCATGATCGACGTCACTACAACAAGCTTGTTGAAAGCCAAAGAATTCGTAAACTCAATTCGTTCCTCTGGCGGTAAGTTTTGTTTTATTTTGACTTATCATACTATGTTACTGTATCTGTTGGATCCTTACAAGGGTGATGAGCGTACTTCTGATGGAAAACTTTGAAATACATTTACATTTTCTATTTCAACCTTTGAAAAGTTAAAGTAAAATTTAATTTGCCTCAAAACTTTTTGCATAAAGATTTTTCTACGAAATATTCAAACGAAACTTTATTTAAAAATAGCCTAATTACATGTTTGTAGTTCTTGTTTCATATGCACTAAATTATTGATTCATCCGAAATGTATATCATGTCCCCAAAAGGGGAAAAATCGAATCTGACATCAAAAAAGTTAAAAAAACTGTGAAAACGAATAACCAAAAAGGAAAAAAACTCGTTCTTTAAATCCAATTTGAAAATTATCGAAACATTTAAAATGTTTTTTCTATATGCGACTTTTTTGCATTCGAAATAATTATAATTTTTTTTAACTTTCTTAGATGGTCAAAGAGTACTCAAAAAAAAAAGCTATAAACTGCTTAGTAATTTTGGGGTTTTACAATGTTATTTTTCTTTTGTAAGAATGGAGCTCATTGATTATGGGGCTGATATAAAAAAGCATCTTTGGATGGAAAGATATGCTGAAAGTATCAACGGGGGTCACCGATCACGTTTTTTTGACAGCGGCGGGATCAAAAAAATCACCAGCAAATCTTGAAGAATATAGAACGAAAAAACGAAGGTGAAAATTCTGAAGATGTTTAATATGTTTTATGACATATGACCAACAAACCTTTGTACATATGACTTCATAAAAATGGCCCATTCGCATGCATTGTTTTAAATAGCCTGACATAATGACCTTTATCGTAAAAGTTTCACAGAATCACAGTTAAAGGATACAATAATACATGATATAACAGTTTAATTTTCATTTTTAAACTGTGAGTAAAATGGAAACTAGTATTCTTTTCTGTTGTGTTCTTCAGGTGAAATACCTATATTCAGTTTAGCGTTCGGTAATGATGCAGATTGGAGTTTAATGAAGAAAATTGCCATTCAAAATGGCGGTGTTGCAAGAAAGATATATGAAGACTCGGACTCCGCTTTACAGGTAAGAACATGTTTGCATATTTTGTTTCCTAAAATTATTACACTAAAACTAAGCTTACTCAAAAGCAATACTTACGTATTACAAACTTTGCAAGATAGAAACATACTTAGATGTGATCAACGTTTACATTAAAATAGTCTATAAATGCAACATAACACATCGTGACAGAGCACTATGTGAACGTCAAAAGCTTCAAAAGAAAGTTAGGTTTTTATTTTTTCGTGAACTAGTCTTATTTCGGTTAACGTTTCTGTACCAATTCCAAACGAAACCAAACATTTTAAATGAGCATTTGTGCACATACAATAGCGTATGAATTAACAACTTCATTCATGGCAGCAAATATGCGATAAATTATGTATTTTTAGTGCAGTTCAAATATAAAAGTTCATCAACTTAAAACACGCGACTCCTCTTGCCCCTGTACAATTAAGTTTTGCCATGCAATACAAATGACTGGGTGAAATCGGCCTCATTTATCAGCTTGGCAAAACGATTTTTGCTTTTTTTTCAGTTATCTAGTGAAATGCTAGTCTTTTATAAACCCGTCAATCTGCCAACAACAATGAAAATACAAATAAAAAGTATAAAAGATTAAGCATGTGAAACCGACCCTGTCGCCGGCTTTTGTTCTACGATTTAAATTTCCTCTTAGATCCAAGCAAGTTAAAGATAAGAACTGGCGGTCTATCGAGTATTAACATTTTTATATTCATACAATGTCTAAATATTTTTAATATCTCTATTTCTTTTTTTCTTTTTCCTCCTTTTTTTGAGACTCCAACTGAGTTACTCAGTTTATCTTTTACATTTCTTAATCACAGATAAGCGGATTCTACGACGAACTCTCAGTTACTTTACTAAACAACGTTACTGTCAAATACCTTGGTGATTCTGTTGAAAAGCAAAGCCTGACAGAATCGGAATTTAAGAACTATTTCCGGGGATCTGAACTTGTAGTTGCAGGCAAGCTGACCGACACTGGTGCCCGGACTATCAACATGGAAGTTTTAAGCAACAGCGCTGAAGGTTCTTTAGTTTTGACAGGTGAGTTTAGCAAGTAGTTCAATGTTTTTTCAGTATTTTAAGTGGAATTATGACCATCAAAGTGTAAATTACAAGTTTGTGTTCATTATCACTCAAACAATGAATAACCTTCGTGAATCATGATAAAAAACTATTCAGAAAGTATCTGTAGAGTAAGAGAAAAAGTCTCTTTAAAATTTAGGCATATTTGTATAATATCCTCACAAGTTTGATTGTTGATGTTTGGCCAATGCTCATTACAAAAGTAAATCTTTTTAATGTGTAGCTTATTAAGCTTGAGTTGACAAAGAAACAATAGCGTAGATTCTACTTGATAGAATCTGTAATGTGTTGCTCAACAAAAAACAAAGCCAGCTTGAAAGGGGAAAGGTATAATGGCTTATAAGCAAAACGAGTATTTTGAAGACAATTTTCTCAGAACTTCTTACAAACGTAAAATTCTATTTAAATCAGAGTTCTTACTTTACTTTCTAGAAAAATTAACTTAAAAATTTGGTATTAATTTTCCAGGAGACAAGGACTTAAACTACATTGATGTATCAGAAGCCGGAAATTTAATGGAACTCTCCGATTTCCAAACAATAACTGAAAAAACATGGGCCTACCTTACCATTAAACAATTGCTTAACAGGGCCACAGGAGAACTAAATAAGACAGCTGTTGACATTATGAAGAGTAAAGCTAAAGCACTTTCTCTACAGGTAATTTATTCTCTCTATTTACCGCTTAAGTTGTAAAAACTTAGAGGCTCAAAACTAAGAAAGAGAACATGCTTAAAAAAATTTTGATAAAAGAATCTGAATGTTTATAATGTGTGGATGTTTGTTTTCAATAAACGGAAACCTTAGATGTCTGTCAACACTGAAAATTCAAAAATGCTGCAGACTCAACTTGGTGTCGCGTGTACTTGAGCGTAAATGATTAATGTAAATTATCACCACTAAAGTTTCCTTACCCCAAGTACCAGCTTAACGAAAGGTTAACATTAATTTTATAAAAGATTACGTTGCATTAGTGCAATAACGGAATTAGTCCTGCTAAATTTGATAGCAGTCAATCTGTTATTTCACTAAGTGACGATTTATTTTATTTTGTTCATATGACGGCAGTCATGAAACAGTCAAATAACTCTTTTCTACCTACTTGACAGAGGTTGGGCCCGATAATGATAAAAACAAAACAGGAGTGTAAAGTACATAATCGTTTTTCCTCTTTCTAATGATTTGGAATATCAGTATTTTTTATCATTATGTTCATATGACCATGCTCTACAGCTATGTTCTATATATTCATTTGCATTTGACAACATCGCTTTTGCAGTATGGTTTTGTTACACCTTTGACCTCAATGGTCGTCACAAAGCCGGAATTGGTTCCAAATGAATGGAGACCACCTACAAGTTAGTAACATGCTTATTTATAAGCTTTTATATGTTGATCCATATATTTTGATTCTATACACAAATAATTCTTTATGACATGGTTAAACTGTTTATAAGATCTAATCTTTTTATATATTGCGGTATGGCCAAACTGAATCTGATAATGTTAAAAATAATTGTTTTGACGTTGTTTTTTTTTCAATGTGAATTTTATGTTACAAGGCGCCGTATTGATTTGTTATGGAATACACCCATATTAGGCCATTCTAAATATTAACATGTTTTTTTCTCTCATTTTTTGTCCATATATTGTAATATTAATGCATATAATTCTTTACGGGAAATTATAACATTTTATAGACTTTATATGAAATGTGGTAAGACCAAACCAAATGTGATTCTATAGATAATGATAATTATAACGTTATTTCAATATTTTTAGCGTATTTTTTATGTGTACTGTATTGTAAATTTCGCCGTATTGATTACGGATTACATGCATATAAAGCGAATATGATTAGATACTACAGACATCGTGTTTCGTAAAAAGCTTATTTTCAGTTGGTTTTCAATGTTTACTACTTATAACATTGTTTCAACATAAATTAACATTTGCATTTACGGATATAAATTATCAGCATATGTTTGATAAATGTTATGTATACGTTAATATATGTCTGTAAATAACAAGTATAGAGCTCTAAACTTCCTTCTTTCCATATTCAGCAACCACGACTCCAAAACCGACGACGACGAGAGCCTATCGGCGATATGGAAGTGGAGGCGGTGGATATGGTGGCGGTGGTGGTAAATTATATTTACTAACGTTTCAATATAATCTACTATTACTGCATGGTCATGTTACGCGTGAATAAAATCAAAACTTTGCTGCATAATTATGTAGATAATTACGTAGCATGTGAATGATAGCTACCTTTAAGTTCGTGCATATAATAATTTAACGTATGAGAATAACTTAATTTTACAACATGAATATGCCCGATATGAGTAAAACTAACATTTACTATCTAAAGATGTTACGTATGACTAAAGTCTACCATGATATTATATATATTTGTAATCCTTAAAATTCCAGTGGACGTTGTTTTAGATCGATATAGGAATGTATGTAAAAATGTTTATAGTTTTTGTACATGCAAACTTATAAATTACTATAAAATGTTCATGATTTTCAATGAAGCTGTACATAATTAAAGATGAAATCATAAACTAAAGATTCCTTGACTAAATTGCAAATGTTTCTTGTATTGCTTGCAGCTGAAAATAAAACGTTTGGTATTTAAAGCTTCTACAAACGTTTTGTGAACTAATTTGTTAAGGGACCCTAACCCAGAATTGTCTATAAAATTGATAAAGAAATGTAAAACGTTAATTGTTAGTAAAAGCAGCAACATGTGTTTAAATGTTATAAAAATTAAAATATGATTTATTCTAAATGAAAAAAGCAGACCTGCTCATAGCTTAATATGCACAAAGCATTGAGCTGAAAAACTCGTACACTTCTATCGAAATAGGAAAGATCTCAGATATATGCATATTTAAGGTGTAACGATAAAGTATTGCATTTTCAGGAGGAGACCCTCACTATATGATCCGTATAAAGAATATGGAGCATCCGATCTGCTTTGATGTACAAAGTAAAGACGGAGAAGTACATAATATAATAACTGATCCACGAAATAGTATGTTACTGTAAATTCAATATTTGTTTAGAAAACCACGGATCTTTTCTGGTGATTATATTTATCTACAAACAAAAATAAGAAACCTCGTAAGATCTCATCAGAATTATGCTAATTTCTTTTTATTTTCTCGGAGCATCATTCACGTTACTGATATTCTTTTTTTTTTCTTATATAAGGCCGTGATAATTCATTTGGACATCTATATAATGAGCATTTGAATCTCAACGCTGATTCAGAAAATGTGTGGGGTACATTACTTGTTTACTTACGGTAAATAAGTAATTACTGGTTGGTTATCCAGAAAGTCCGGTTAGATGGACCGATATATCACCAAAATTGTGTTAAAGCAGGCGTACACTCGCCTCAAATTTCTTTTTATTTAGGAATGAAATTTTAAAAATATAATCTCGTAAATGTAATTAATTGTCTAGCAAAATATCAAAAGCGCATGCCAAAAAGTTAGACAATTGAATACAAAATTGTTTAGTTTTGGTAAATATAGTTCACTTGCCACTTAAGATTTTGTTCATTTCATAATATTTTATAAAGTAGGTGAAATTTTACAGACATTATATAAATGTATATAAGAAAAAATGACATATCTTTATATACATATACTTAACATACTTATGACACCAATATTTTCATAGAAATAACAATAAACACACAAATCATAAGTGGGTTGATGGGAACTGATGGTGAACCCAAGACGTACATCGGTGAAGTGTCCATTAAAATGGCACACCACATACTTGTGATTACAACAAGTGCAATCATATTTGATACAAAGGTATTTTTCAGTCTTTCGCATAATGGCTTTTCATTTACTTCTTTAAAAAAGGAAAACATAAACTTTATAACATTTTAATAGTGGTTTAAGACCATCTTAAATGCTTATAACCTGAAGAAAGTAGCGCTAAATGTGAAATAATTTGTCATAAATGTGGCAAAATGTAAATAAGGTAGTATTGTTACTTTCATACAAGACACTTAATCGCTATAACTTTACTCATTGCCAAAAGAAACAGAAAAAAATAAATGGTTCAGGTAATAGACCAACGAATAGCTCTTTGGAAACAATAAAAATTCACCCAAAATAAAAAAGCTTTTGATAAATAAAAATAGAAGCATTTCTAAAGCATAATGGGCCTTTAAGTATAGCTTTAACAACAGTTTTTGCCAAGTAGTTATCGATGGTTCTGACACAAGAATCAATACACTACTTCTCCTTGTACTAAATAACTTTAATGAATTTTATGGTGAACATGTTAAGTTAATAAACGTAAGATAAAACAAAACAAACAAACTGAGAAGTCTAGTGTTTTATCAATTATGTGCTTAGTGTATGTCTTTTCTTGACTAAGACGTTTCCAATACAAAACTAAACTAATTAATGCAATACCAGACGAGTAGTTTAGTGTATTTGTATTTCTTTAATTATAACATAATCAATTCTGTCATTAGTAATGTTTATGGAACTGTTTTTGGTATACTTAAAATATATAAATTAGTTTTCTAAGCTTAGTGAACATGATGGTTTTATCCTTTGTGACAGATGTATAGAAAATGAAACTCTTCACGGATGAGTCAATATTTTAGTTTTTCGAACGCTCCATATTGGAACATAAGATTGATTTGTCTTTGTAGATGTTTCCATGGACAGAAAAGAAGCTAAAACATTTTGGTGGCCACGAATTCGTCTTGTCTGAAGACGGTCTGTTACTAACAATACGGTTCAAGTTTGGAGCGGAAATACTTATCCGACGGCACGTACACAAACCATCTGATACAAGAGCCAATTATTTGAACATCTATGTTAAGCACGAAGATACATTCAGCAAAAGGACAACTGGATTGATTGGTAATTATAAGTTCGTCCCTTACAAACAAAGATTATTTCAGACTTTAAAGCAATCTGATTAAATCATATGCAATTTTAGTGAATTGGTTAATAATGGAAGATTTGTATTTATATTCTTTATATTCCGCAATCCTTTAATTGTAATTCTAACATTTTTAGAGTGTGTCGGAGGCTGCGTACTGTGAACGTTGCCTTTGCTTTGTATTTAGTATCATACAAAACAAAAATACGAAAGAATTATTTATAGAAGTTCTTAGTATGTAAGCTGTATGATCCGATATTACATATCTATATTTAGCAGATGATAAAATGTTCTAGAACAAAGTATTATTGTTATTCATATTTCATATTTTATCGATTAGAATTGTATGAACATTTTTTTTCAAGAAATCTCTTATATGAATACTAGTTCCAAGTGATACATTAATTTTGTAATGTTTTTATCAATATTTGAAAGACTTATTGAAAATGTTGACCGACACATATCCAATACACATTAAGATGTTGATACTTTTTTCATATTTTACAGGTCAGTTTGTCAACGGATTTAAGCATATTTATCTTCGTAAACTGTTCAAAGATAAGAGCGGAGAAACAATGGCTAAACTGCAAGTGAAGGAGGGAGAGAAATTCCCGTCAATAAGGGAAAATGCAGACCATGCAAAGGGTGGAGTAACTCGTCAAAGAATTTCTGCACGTCTTATTCAGCGGTCCGAAATTGTTGAAAAGGGAACAGAAATGTGCTGGATAGTACACAAGAAATTCATAGACTCTCTAATTGGCAGCCGTGAAGCTTTTCTTAAGGACGACTTTATTGACATTGAATAAAGATAACATTTTGTATTCAAATGAATACTCTACAGTGTCAACGACATTCATTTTAACATGAAACGATAACTTACATATGTTCTTGTCATTATAAATGCAAAAAGGAAATGTTACACATTTATCCCAATCACTCTTAGTTGTGTTTAAAGCAGGACTTTGAAGAAAGTTACCCCTTGTGGCTGGAGGATTGCCTCTAATTTGCATAACAGCCACCTTTTATCCCGATTTGTCTTATTATATCTCATAAGCTTAATTTATGTTATATCATGTTTTGATTTTGAATTAAATGGCCATTATGCTTCAAAAATGCTTCTATTTCGATTGATCAAAAGCTTGTTATTTTGTGTGAATTTCTATTGTTTCCAGAGGGAGATATTCGTTGGCCAATTACCTGAACCATTTTTTTCTTCTGTTTCTATTTTGGCAATAAGTACATTTATAGTGATAACGTTTTTTGTATGGAAGTCTAAATACTACTTTGTTTACATTTTGCCACTTTTATGACAAATTATTTCACATGTAGCGCTACTTTCTTCAGGTAACAAGCATCTAACATGTTGTAAAACCATTATTTAAATGTTATTAAGTTTATGTTTTCTCTTTTAAAGAAGTTAGTTTTATTCGTTTCTGAGGCATAATGTGCCTTTTATCATTGTTAATATGAGAGAGCTAAATTTGGCGGCTTTCACTATAGTCAGGTCATGGTCTACGGTTGTGTTTGCTACTCTTACTACAAACTAGTGGTGACAAAGGGATTTTGACGAATTGAGTCCATAAGGTCTATGAAAGAGGATCAAATATTTCTTATAGACTACAATGTAGATTTGTGTTTAACCTCGCATTATCGACTACAATGTAGATTTGTGTTTAACGTTGCATTATTGACTACAATGTAGATTTGTGTTTAAAGTTGCATTATAGACTACAATGTAGATTTGTGTTTAACCTTGCATTATAGACTACAATGTAGATTTGTGTTTAATCTCGCATTATCGACTACAATGTAGATTTGTGTTTAACGTTGCATTATTGACTACAATGTAGATTTGTGTTTAACCTCGCATTATCGACTACAATGTAGATTTGTGTTTAACCTTGCATTATAGACTACAATGTAGATTTGTGTTTAACTTGCACTATAGACTACAATGTAGATTTGTGTTTAACCTTGCATTATAGACTACAATGTAGATTTGTGTTTAACGTTGCATTATAGACTACAATGTAGATTTGTGTTTAACCTTGCATTATAGACTACAATGTAGATTTGTGTTTAACCTTGCATTATAGACTACAATGTAGATTTGTGTCATGCAAAAACACACATAATGAAAGTTAAAGCTTGTATCGATTGTTTGAATATACATACACCTCCATAACCAACATAAAGACTTCTAAAATATTTAGTGATGCATATTGTCTTAAAATTTGATTTACGACATTTTTGGATGGTGTTCAATTGTATATAATTTGACTTGTCTAAAAATATGTAATACTGATATCTTTAATATGTTTGGTCTTATTGTTCATGTAATTTCCATCTGGAAACATACATGTACATGTTAGGATGAAAATATATTGTATTTGCCATTTTAAATTCCATGTTTGTATTTTATTCGTCTTTTTTCAGTTCCAATTAAATGACAATTCGCAAATAAAACGCTTAAACAATTTCTAATTTGAACTATCTTTTTATTTGCACATTTTATAAATTTCCCCATGCATTCATACATTTGATTTAATTTTGTTTTAGAAGTCATGTAATAGGTCTTTTTTTACGTAAGTTCCCCTACTGCCAACAAGAGCCTCTGTAAACGGTCTTAACACCATCCAGCACATCTCCTTTCCTCTTTCTACAACGTCTCCCCTTTGTATAAGTCTTGCAGTTATTCTTTGGCGTGTTTGATTCCTTGCATTATTTTTGACGCCATATCCTGGCATACGTTGAAACTTAAGACCTTCTTTAATTTGAAGTCTCGCCACCGTCATTCCACTTTTGTTTATAAGTTGTTTCTGTAAGTGGATGTGCTTATATCCGTTGACAAACTGACCTGTAAGTTAATTTGATATATTAGTTATAGAGATGTTATACATGACTGTATAGATAAAAAGTATGTATGTGGTGAGAATAACTAAAAAATAATTAAAATAATAAAAAGTCAATTTTTCCTGAAGAAGAGAAAAAGTCGAAGGCTAAAAAAACATTTGTTATTGAATTGATTAAATATGGAGATTACCTATAATCATAATGTTTGCATTTTGCTATAAAAGCATCACATTTATCTTTAGTTTACATACCAATTAATCCTCTGGTCATTTTACTGAAGCCATCTTCGTGCTGTACATAAATATTTAAATATCCCATCCCTGTGTCCTTGGTGTGGTGTCGCTTAATCAGTATGACAGCTCCAAACTTGAAAGTTACTGTACACAGACGGCCGTTTTCTGATAATAGCATTTGGTGACCGCCAAATTGTCTCAGCTTCTCTTCCTTCCATTTATATATCTAAATAAAATTAAAACATATAAATTCAAGAAAAAACATCATAATACATTGTATGTATATATACTCTTTATATTTTACTTCCCTTATCAAAATTGTTAAAAAGAAAAAACATGACGGCTGGCCAGCTCTATAAAATGTTGAAGACTAGGTTTGATTTAGCCTATTTACGAACAACAGAAGCAAAATTATATAAGCATAGTTGTTGAATTGTTTCATAGACTTAAGTAGCTTCTATTTTTATGAACTGCCTATTATTATTTTAGGGGATATTAAGATGAAAATTAAGGTTAGTCTGGATCTATATTGGTGGCAAAGGCTTAGCATGCAATTTTCAATCCTATATTGTAAATATACATGAGAAATTGAATATTTTTGTTTAAGAATTGGTTTACGACAGGCTTTCAAAACGAAAGGAAAAAAAATAGATTTGAATACAAATACTGTTTCTCTGATGATTGAAATAGTTCAATTACTGTAACTGTATTATTTAAATATTATTTAAATGAAAGAATACAAAGAATTTGAAAAGTAACGAGTAAAACATTTTACTACAATCAAGAAAGAGTGGTCTGTTAAGACAAAAGTTTTTATTGTTTTTATTTGGTTTTATTTCTTTATTTTATTTTATTTTCTTGTGGGGGGAGGGGTGATATTATGTTACCCTAGTATCAAATATGACGGCATTTGGCGTTATGACGATGACATGATGCGCCATCTGCAGGGCAATTTCACCGATGTATGTCTTCTGTCTACCTTGTTTATCTATTCCTCCATTGATTATCTGTGTGTTAAGTGTTACATCTGGATAAAGATAAATGATTATTTGTGTGTTTAGTGTAACATTTAGTAACCCCAACCAGAGAAAATGAAACCGGAATGTTCACACCGAACACCGAAGACGACATGGTTAAATTTAGGTTTTAAAATCAATTTGTCTGACTGAACATTATGCCTGTTAAAATATATATCATATTATCAAAATCAAGAAGATAAAAAATAAAAATAAATCTTTTTGCATCTCTCATCGTATTATTTATATTTGCAAGTCCAAATATGTTAACGATGTTATCTCTAAAAAAATGTAATAAAAATTAACACTTATTAAGTTCTATTATTCATACGTTCTGCTATTTAAAATATTCACATTTAAGCAATTTTACAATTTGAAAGAAATATTAATATAGAGAAAAATACACCATTTTTGTAAATTTATTGGGTAAGAGTTATACTTACTGTTTCTTGTATCAGTTATAAGGTTATGTATTTCTCCATCTTTACTCACGACATCAAAACAAATCGGATGTTCAATGCCCCTGATACGTATCATGTAGTGGGGATCTCCACCTAAAACAATTCCATTTATTTTATTTAAAGCTGCATGTCTCAAGATGAGTCAAAATATTTCAAGAAATCCTTTAGGAAAATGTACTTAGATTTTAAGAATTTTTAAAGTAGAAATATTTACAATTCAAAACAACAATTTTAATGTTTCACAATGTATATGCCTGATTTTGCAGGGTTTATCACAATATTTCTACTGCGTGACTAACACAGTAAGGGCTATTTTGCATATTCTGACAAATTGTTGGCAATATACGTAGATGTTAAGTGCCGTTTTTAATGTATAAATTATTTTCTTTCTTCACTTAACAATATTTTATTTTCTAATACATTAAAAAGTCATGTAATTAGCATGAATGTGGAGGCAAACTGCTTTAAGAAATGAAATAAATCCTAAAATCACACCACTTTTGATTTTTTTAACACGTTCAAAGAAAGAAGGAATCAAAACCTTTAATTTTATGAAGAGCAACAACTACAACTATCTTTTTCTGTTATTCAATATCAAAACAATCACATTGACGACACTATATAACCGTAAGAAGTTTTGACGTAGAATGTATAAGGAAGAAGTGTCAACAATTTAATACACTCCTTAATGTTTATCCCAGACATTGCAACAAACAATCTTAAAATATTACCCCTGCTTCAAAAATAACATCTTGAAGTCAGTCAAATACTACGAGAATGTTTTAGAATGGATGGTGCTATGAATTTTTGGGTTTTTTATTGTCATATTGCTTTCAAGTAACGATTTTGATAACTCAAAAAACATACAATGTCTTGTAACAAATCAACAAATTGAAACCTGTCAGAACTGATGACGATTTGGCAATACACATATACAAGCTAACGTATATTATACATAGAAGTTGTGTGGAAGAATTTGCAGATCTTGACAATTTTGATTTTTTTACGTAAGACGACAACTTAAGATCAACTTTAAACTCATCAATCTTTTGGATTGTTAGCAAAGATGATTACCTCCTCCACCCCCATATCCACCTCCACCACCTCCACCACCCCCACCACCACTGTAGCGTTGGACGTAAAGTGCTGTGGGTTTCGGGGGTTTGGGGCCTAAAATAATAAATCATGTCTAACTCTGAAAGTTAAACACTGCATTTGAAATGATGAACATACATAGAAATTAAGTAATCGTTACATTATTTCTTTTATAGAGTAAATTGTGTGATCATTCTTAAAAACGATTAAAGAAATCTTTCTGTCATGAAAAATAAAACGTACAATAGCAATTGTTTCGCAACTATCAATGCTATTTTAAAAGTTGTACAAATTGTAACTTTAAAGAAAACTATGACAGGAATATTTTTATATGATAATGCCTGATTTCTGTCTCCATTTCTGTTGTTTAAGTTTTTGTTTTGTAACGACCATTGACGTCATAGGTGTAACAAAGCTGTACTGAAAAGAGAGAGAAAAATGATTTATAAAAATTACATTAATGTATTTTCAAATTTATCATATAAATTTGCTTGCTTTCGGTGTTCTTTTTCTGTATCTTACATACGACTAATAAAAAATGGTCATCAATTTAACCATTGTTAAAACATTTTCTGGTTTAATGATCAGAAAACATGTCATGAATATAAGCTTACATCCGTTTTCTGGTTATATTACCTTCAATTTCATCGCAAAAATGTTACAAAGCAACAAACTAACTTCATATCGCTTTCCGAGACTCGTTAGATTCAATTGACTTTCCAACGACGACACATTCACTAAGCTCATCTACATAACAATGTAACAATGTAAAAATATAGATTTGATGTACGCCTAGATAACAATCAGACCGGAGATAAAACTGATACATTTACATAATAACCAATTTCAACACAAAAAAATAAAACAACATTACCTGTAATGATAACTTCTTTGCTTGCTTATATATATCTTTTGCGACGCTTCTATTCTGGAGACTATCTGCCTTATGGATCAACTGTTTAATTGTAAGGTATGCCCAGGTCTTCTCTGTTACTTCTTCAAAATCAGTATGTGCCATTAATTTCTCCGTGTCCGACACTTCTTTGATGTTAGAAATATTGTCCGCTTCAAAGAAAAATGATATATTGACTACGTCTTTTTCTCTTTCACAAATGTTATAAATGTTAGTATGAAGAGAAAGTTAGTATCAAGAGAAACAATAACTTGTATTTCTTTTGATATTCAAAATATAAATTAACGACGTAAACAGCTTGCATTTTTATTCTAAAAAAATCAATCAAAATAGGCTAGCATGACAATTATCCATACCCTTAATTGTTTCCTATGAAAGAACATTGGAACAAAAATCTGACTTTGCCTTTGAAATTACCTGAAAGAACTAAATCACCATCCTGAAAATTGCCAACAATTTGCAGGTTCACGGTAGAAGACATCGAGTCCGTTAGTTTTCCGGCTACAACGAGCTCTGATCCTTCAAAATATTTCCCAAACTCGGTCTGTGTAAGGCTTTCATCGTCAACAGAATCTCCGAGATATTGTACAGAAACATTGCTCATTAAGGTGACTGATATTTCGTCGAAGAAGCCACTAATCTAGCGGTTAATAAAATAAACAAAAACAAAGGAACAGTATGACCACTGATAAAAAAATGATTTGCAGTTATCTACCTACTATATGTGAAATATTCCTACTAAAAGTTTTTGTCCTTAGCGGAAGCTATTTATTTAAAACACGTGGATATTTTGTTTTTAGGGACTGAATATCATGATCATCTTGTGACATTCAGATAATCATTTGTCATAAAGGTGATCATATCCAATTTATACGTATAACAGGAGAATGTAAAATATCCAATACCAAATCGTATGCCAATGTCAAACTTTGTAAAATTTGTAAAATGGACTTACACTTCATACATTTTGAAACGACTTTTTTTTATTGATTACATTGAGTGCATTATCTAGAATAAACTTTCTGACAATGGTCTATGTTTGGTGCTTCACCGATTGCATATGTCGATGGCATAGAACGATAAACAAACTGTATAGTGCATTTACTTGCAAATCAGCGTCAGCATCTTCGTATATCTTTCTCGCTATTCCATTATTTTGAATTGCCATGTTTCTGACCAATTTCCAGTCTGCGTCATTGCCAAATGCTAGGCTATACACAGGTATTTCACCTGTCAATTATAAAAATCGTAGCGTTAACCGCCACTACTTGCTTTATGCCATCATCGTCATGTGTTGTCTTCTGAATGTTCATCACTTGAGCTAGCAGTATATATGTGATTTATTTATTGATGAGTCCCTCGAATGTTTAACAATCGAGACAACTAGAAATCAGTGATCAATTAACCCGTGATTCATTCATTGGCTAGTGTCTCGAATGTTCAGCACTCGAGACTTGTCTTTATATCTTAACAACTGGCTTGTTTAGAAATTTTCAGGAATATTTCGCCAATTATATCTACACGCCGTTTTAAATATAACTTTTTGAAAATAAATGAAAGAATCCGAACTATTGTTTATAATGTTCACCAAAAATGCCTGAATTTAACATTGACATAAAATAATTGTAAACAAATCAGATTTTGTAATTACAATAAGTGGGTAATTTATTTCCAAATAAGATTTTTTCCAAATAATTCTGAAGGACAAACACAAAAGATTACTTAGAAAGGCTGTTGAGACAAACCTTCGTTTGCAAAACGTATATTGTCGAGAATTCGTTTGGGGCTTTTCACTCCTTCACTTGGTAATCCATCAGTAAGAAACAAAATCACTCGAGAACGCTCACTATTTTCCCAACTATGTTTTCGAAGAATACTTATACCTTTCAAAATGGCTTCATTGATGTTTGTTGCTGAAAGAATGAATACAAGACTAGAAGGAGTTATCCTTGTAAAAAGAACAATCGCTGATATGATTTAACACACTACAATATACTGTTTGGAAAATGTGTTTAAAGTAATATTTTAGCTTGACTGTGTTATTATAACCACATTTAAGTAAGCATCTAGAAACAGCAATCACTGGAGTCACACGAAGAAATAAGGTCGTGACCCTAGAATGACTTGAATGCATAATCACTGGGTTGAGAGACATACACATTTCCATTAACCATAAGAATAATAAAGACCATTTTCCTTAAGCAAGTTTAGATAAAATGGTCATGTCGGCAAGTTTCTTATAAAATTCTTCTAAATATATATTGGTGTACCATGCATTTCTTCAAAACAATGATTACCATTATTACTTACTCAAAGAGAATTTAAAATGTGTGCCATAAAAACAAGATACAAGAGATTAAATTATAGAATAATGATACGGATATTGTAGAAGCAACTTAATAGCATACATGTATTACGGAATTTTCTATTGCCAAATGTAGAAGAGCTGCAGATTGTGATCAAATTTGCAAAGTGTCTCGCTGAACATATTATATACGATGTAAATATCGTTTCTTTCTGCATTGTGCTTCTTATTATTAAAGGTTTGCCCAGTTGTGTTAATAAAAAAATTATGAACCATCTGACATATCGTAAGAATCGTTTTCTTGTTTTCCATAATTATATACCCAAATCCGCATTCTTACACCAGGTTTTGTATTTTAGTTTTGTCGTCACTTTTGTTTAATTTGTTCATTGTGAATTAATGGGATTTCAGTGTTAATTTAAAAAACAGCATTGAGCGTTTCAATTAAACTGAAAACAAAATAATAAAGAAACAAAAAAACTAACATCCATACGGGCTTCTATTCTTGATATAATTCTTTGCCTTCTGAATGTCCCTTTGAGTCGCGTCAATCAAGCCATTTTCTTTGTACACACTCACATGACCACCAAACATTATTATGTTAAACCTGTCACCTTCTTCTAGCTCGTCTAGGATGGAATTCATTGCAACCTAGTCGAGTTGTAATGCAAATATTTTGAAATTGAGTATTTTTGTCAATAGCATTGACATAACAAACATAATGTATGAACAGTGGGTCAAATTGTTTAAGATGATAACCTCCGCAAAGCAACATCCTTCCGGTAAGAAAGAGCTTCGTTGTTGATTAAAGGTGTTGCTTAACTTTGGTTACATTTCCTGTAAAATCTTACTTAAGAAAAAATGTATGTTGTTACTGTCACAAGGTTATTGCTCTTCTAAGAGTCGCTCGGCAGACTTTGTACCGTTTGACCATTTAAAATAGACTAAAGTAAGAAGGAAGCTGCAAACAATTTAAAATTGACAGGAAAAAAGAAGCTCTTTATCTTACATTCTGGAATCAATTATTATACAAACTGGTAATTTGCCCTTCTCACGCATGCCATGATTTGTGTTTATAATAAATTACTATCATACATATCTACTGAATTAATTACAAACACAAAAATTTCAAAATAAAATTGATGTAATAGGTTGTATTCATTAAGAAAAATATTACTATGAATGACATACTATATCTTATTCTCACAATTACAGGATGCTGCATTAGTATCATTGATAAGAATAATAATAAAGCGTAGTAACTTACCCTCAATTGGCTATATTTTGTACCTTCCATGGATCCACTGGTATCCAGGATAAACACTGCGTCTTTTGGAATAAACACATTGACCTCAGGGGCAAGGAAATGAACAAAATACCCATTTACAACCTGCAAAAGAAACATGTATGATTACATGATTTTGTGTGCGTTATCATCAGAGAAATCTGCAAATCATTACGATGAGGACAATACGGTCAAAGTATCTTTATAAAAATATGCTGATGAAAATGTTGCAAGAAAAAAAAATAATCACAAAAGCAGAAACATAAAATTATCGCTAATTCAACTACAATAGCCATGATCAGTTCGGATTTCAGAGGCTAGCATGGTATGACTATCAGAATGTTATAACAATGTAATTGTACTTTGTTTAGAAATTATCAGGTATATTTCGCCGATTGTATTTCACGCCGTTTCATATATAACTTTTGGGAAAAGAAAGATATTGTTCTTTATCAATAACCATTTGATAACCGGTCATCATTTATAAATTTGAACACCCTTTGGGAAGGGTTTCTTTAATGAGAGATATTTTAACAGCAGATTTGTTTACAATTTAAAGCGTTTCGTTAAACATTTACAGTATAACCTGTGCAGAGAAACGCTCTTTGAGAGGCAAACATTTTTGTTGTTACTGGGAGGTGTTTCTCCAGAGAGGTTAACTGTATATTGAAGTTTTACTTTATGGAAAAAATTGAAATAGTTGTTGTAAAAAAAAAGGTAGTTGTTCTACAAAACGCCGCTCTGCAAAGATTACAACTCATAATATTAGAAATTACCAGGACATCCCCGGCATCTAAAGCCCTGTCAATGTCATATTGTACAACAAAAGATCCAGACACACCATCCGTGCCTTGTTCGTCAATTGTCGGATGATAATCTATGTAAGCACTCCTTTTACTGGGTCTTGTTATTACAACTAAATCATTTTCTGTAAATAAAACAACGTAATTTAAGCCTCAGATATTCAAAATGATATGTACATGAAGTTATTACATTCATAATTTTGCTATAATATCGGGTCTTGCGTTTTCGTTCTTCTGTTCTTCCAAATTTGGCTACACTTTAAAACGAAGTGTATAGAAGTTATATTTCTTTTCTCATATCATTCGAAACCTCTGATAATATGACACTTTCCGAGGATGTAAGCACATTTTTATGACAATGGCGGCCGATATTAAAAGATCTGACAAGGCTCTTACCCTGTTGGTAGGTCAGATTTGCATTTTGATACTGATGTCTATTATTTAACTTCCATTGTGGGATGTCCGGGTGCATCCAGTGCTGAGTTGTTAAGGTCATTTAATTTTAAACTTTTGCCCGTCACAGCTTTGGGTTCGATTCCCGCCAGGGACATTGGATTCTATCATGTAATAAAGCTATCCAGGTAGCTTAATGAACGTCGGTGATTATACACAGGTGTCCAGGCACCTGAATTCTTCCTCCACCTGGTAAGCTGAAAAGTCGCCATATATCCTTTGCATTCGGTGCGACGTAAAACCCAATCAGAAAAAAATATTTGACTGTCCCAAAGTAAAAATAAATAAGGCCAATACATAAATTCAGGACTGTATGGTTTAAAACTATATTTCCCGCCGAAAATTGCAATTGATTTTTACAATTTTTGGACTACTTCGTTGGTATAAAGTAGTACATAAATTCACCAACCCTTTGTACTAATTCTATTTGTTAGCAATTCATCCAGTGCTCTAATTGGTGGAACATACAATTTCGTTAAGTCACGTGACTCTAGAATTGTCACGCGTATCTGAAATAGCAAATATATATTTTAACTAAAGAACCTTTTCTCTTTGCGTCACATTAATGTGATATGCGCGTTAACATGAAAAAAGTTTGATAATAAAATTCACAATGACAAGAACAGATGTAAATGCATATTCGGATATTTAAAGAAATCATTATAGGAAAAATATGATATAAATTAAATATTTTGAATTGTTTAACAATTTCATTTTTTTTTAAATTAAAAAATCTGAAAAAGGTATTTATTCCTTATTTATTTGTAAACAATTGATTTACCTTGAAATCTTTTACAGGATGTCCCGGATCAATATATATCTTGTGTTCATACGCCCCTTTTACCCTTGCAAGTAGTTCCTGGTATGTGAGATTGAATGTGGATTTACTAAACGCAGCTACGGCAATAATTATGCTAAACGTTCTTGTGTCTCTTGGTCTGAAAAAATCAGACATAAGTGGTATGTAATCAGACATAAGTGTCATATAATCAAACCTTAGGGCCATGTAATTAGACATTAGCGACATGTAATGCGACATAAGTGCCATGTAATCAGACATAAGTGACATGTAATCAGACATAAGTGTCATGTAATCAGACATAAGTATCATGCAATCAGACATAAGTGCCATGTAATCAGACATTAGTGACATGTAATCAGACATAAGTGCCATGTAATCAGACATAAGTACTATGCAATGAGTAAATTAGCTATAGTTATACCATGGTCATTCATGGATAAAAATTTATGTTTCAATTCAAAGGCTATGCATATTCATATAATGGTTTAAAATTATATTGATAAAAAAGCACAAAACCGCACAAAAATATCAGGTATGTAAGTAATTTGGTTACATCGGCTATTGCTGATTGTCTTTTCAAATACGTTTTGTCCGTAGTGACATGATGTTGTGTTCTTTACCGCATTTAAAAGCACCCCACCCTCTATCCGGTAAAATTTCATATTGGCCCGCTATTATTTTTCACCTAGAAATTGTAACATCTAGGCATGTAAGGCACCTACCTATACATGTCAATGGATTGGTTCGTTGTATGGTCATCCAAGACACAAATGTTGCCCTCGTTAACAAGCAAGTCAACGATACAACATTAAAAACGACTAACCTGTCAGACCAATATAGAGTATATTAGGGTGCTTATAGGGCTACTGATTTCAAGAAAACTGCAATACAATGCATAAGATATCAAATATGTTCCAAAGGAGATGAGCGAAAATAATGTGTTACTGTTGACTGACAAGCCCAGTTGTCTCCCCTTTCTCCTTGGCTGTTTCATATTGTTTCCGGGCTATGTTTCTGTCCCTAACAACCCCTGGGTATATCACGCCGTCTATCTCTCTGAAAAATAATTTAATGTCGTAAAATACGCACTTTTTATGATTGCACATTTTGGACTTACTTATTGGTGTAAATTACATAGAACAATGGCATAGATCATATTTTACAAAAGTTATTGCGAATTTAATCTGAACATGCAAACACTTTTCAATGAACATAAAGTTCATGGAAAAAAAAACACAAATTGTAAAATTGTTACTTGATTATCAATTGTAAATGTACGAGTTATAAAATTTTATTTAGTACTCGTCTTGTATCTTTCTTACGGTCTTGTATGTCATGCTTTGTACATAAATTTTATGATGTTAAGAGCTGGTTTCTCCCATAGTAGTTAGCGGGCTCGAAACTATGACTCGACATGAGTATCCTTGTAGTAATTCTACTTTGGAAATACTATAAGCTAACCCTAAAAAGATATCTTTAAGATTTCATTTTTCAAGATCATTGCCTTACAATATTCAAGCAAATATTTCGTATCAAAATAAAAGTCATTTCCTTAGAAACTTACAGTGTAAAGTTTGAAATAAAAGCTTCCTCTGGTAGGATGACCTTGAACTCGGCTTCCTGCGTAAAATTAGCCGGATTGGCCACTCGGCTTGTTACTAGAGTGGTCGCAAACCGGAACTGTATGTCCGTTTTTACATGAAGAGAATAAATTCTTGGAGTCTAAAATGATACAACAGTTAAGTTTGAATGCTCACAATTCTAGATAGGGCTTCATTTACCAAATTTCAAATAAGTCACTTTTAAATATAGGTTATACAAATTCAATATGTCATTTATTGCGATGTTTAAAACAATGTTTGTTTGTTTATTTAATTATCTCTTTATCGAGCTGAGTGTGTGCAATGGATTCGCCCATCTTGCACAGTCCATTCAATGTTTCAAGCATTTCGATTCACAATACAAATATCGATATACTTACAGTTATATCTTTTAACTGACAACTAAACTTAAGGTTTGTAACTTTGTTTTATAAAACTTAATGTTGTAACATACGGTCAGTATTTATCTTGCAGCTTGATTTCCTATTTGAGAACGATCTAAACAGTTTGGAGTAGTGTATCTAAGTATCTGAAGCAGTTGTCAAGTATGTAGGAAAAGGCAAATAACTCTAATTAGACAGAAAAATCTTTTTGAAAAGGTGAAAAGGAAAAACTCTAAGTATGTGTGCAATATATATCACATCAAAGTATATGGTTGGTAACATGGACGGATTAGGGTGTGTTTTGATAACCTTATAGCTTGCAACATAATCGATCTAAAGTAAATAAGTATAAACTATAATATACAGTGCCATCCATAAATACCTTTACACCTCTTTTTAATTACAGATGTACTTAAAGTACGATTTTCAAAGATTTATCCATTTTTGAGATACTTGTTTAACAACAGTTAGTGCAATTGCATAATGACTTTATAAATATATTATTATTTTAGGTCGTTGAAAGAATGAACGAGGAATATATCCATATTTTCATATATTAACGAAAATAAACAGTATTTCAAAAATTGGTCACATAGGTTAACAGTTATCTAATTATAATTGTATGCACCTTAAGCATGGTTTAAATACTGACTTGTTCTAAATACTGTATGTGTAGAAATTTTCGCGGGTTTCAAATTTTCGCGATCTTCGCGGTGACATTCGATCCGCGAATTCATGTTCAGCGCGAATATTTCTACACCAATAATTTCTTAATTAATAGTCATATTTTCGCGCATCTATAGAACAATGTAACATTTGACAAAGTTAAAAATTGATAGTTCTGCGCACGGTCATAGTTACTTGTTTCGAGTTCTTGCACGTTATCAGGGTATTTTGTTCTGAATGGTGTACTGAACATTTTTGAAGTGGCTGAATCTGATGACTGAAGTGGTCATCCTAAACACACCATTACATGTCCCTCCTTTCATTTAGGGACTATATTGGTTCTGTGACACAGTGCACCATCATCCTTGTGCCATTGCTTGTTGACCTGTTCCAACAAATGCGTTTCCGGAAAAGTAATGTATCACATATCATCAATGAAAACCATGCCACGCTGTCTTCCAGATACTTTCTGCAGTATACACTTGTTTGTCTGTACAACACAATATCAGTACATCATCAAATTACCATCATGGAATTTGACTGTGTGAACCTGTCTGTTGGTATCACATAATCTGACAAAGTCTTCATGTGATCTTCTACAACTTTAGCTGGACAATCATGTTAAAATGGTTATGCCAACAGTATAGATGTAACACAGTATCTTATGGCCTATACAATAGCACAGTAGAAGAAAAAGCATGCAGTGTACATGTGATTTCCAATTCAGTTACCTGGCCTCAACCTTATCAAAAAACTTATGATACGCCAAAAATTGCAATTTGAAAAACACACACACTAGCAAACTGCAAGGGCTTATAATGTACATTTGAGATTTTATGGTGTTGTACAAGGTCAAAGGTAAAACATTAACACATAAACAAGCAAATGAAAATAAAATCTGATAGATATTATATAAAAGTGTCATATGAGTGTGTGATTTTTAACTACAAATATTTCAATTTTCTTCAAACGTGTAAATAAGTATAAATTGATTTTATTTTCTTGATTTGCAATAAATTTCTTTTGAATTTATTATAGTAATAATGATTTTTATTATTATAAATTGATTCCAAAAACATTTCTGAAATGGACGAATTCTTGGCATATCAACTAAAATGTATTTTTCAAGATGGCATTGCAGGTCGGTCCTTTTTTAACGAAAATGTATGTTTCCGTTAATTTTGCATGACTGATTATTTTATTGGTTATAAATATCTCAATGTTTCGGAAAACATTGCAGTAATCCGGATTCACCTATGTTCATATAAACTCTGTTTTAAAGGCATAAAAGATTGTTTATATGTATTAAAAATACATGTGCTCTGTAAATCGTTCAATGAATGCCAATCTTTTTGTGATATAATTGTATGTGTCTATTTTTAGAAAACAATGATACATTTTATGGACTAAATTCCCCTACACATATCATGATTTGGTACAAGACCATAGTTATTTCCCCTTAGCAATGCCCACAGTTATTTGCCCTTAGTAATGCCCACAATATAAAAGTAATTACTCGACAAATAATGCCTGTTTGATGCTGTATATTTAAGAAGTTTTTGATGAAAAACATGGTAAAAAATACATAATTAAAATAAATTGATAATTCTAAAGACATATGAAATGATTGATACTAGTAAGTTTTGAAACACAATGATTACTATGGGCGGGGCGGGGGCTATGCCTGTTTACGGCCGCCATGTGCGCACGTCAAATATGTCAAAATTTTGAAAAATAAACGGTCATTCCGTCATTAACAAATTGCAATTTCACTCAAAAGTCTATCTGAAAAATAGAGTTAAACAATTACTGTGTTCTTGAGCCTTAATGTGGCACTTGTCGCTAAATGTCAATGTCGTAAAATACCGTCTGCAATGGTAACGTTACATATCGCCACACCATCAATAAATACCGCAAAATTTAATTTCAAGTCAAGCTCGAGGTGAAGTTTCTGTGTATAATGGGGACTACATTAATGGAAAAAATATGTAAGAAACTCATTTTCGGATCCAGAGGTGAGTTGAGGGGTGAGAGGTATTAACTCCAAAGGACATGATAAGTATGTCGAACTACTCTGAAGTTTTATATTAACTTATGTTTTTCTAGTGAAAATCACTTAAAATTCACTAATGAACATCTTTTAAAAGAAGTAAAATCCCCAATCCACTTTGGATTGTGCATTAACCCTTTATTTGTAACCCCTCTGGTAAATCCTGGACCCGCGCCTGAGTAACGGAACAATTGTTTAAAGCCCTTTATAACAAGCTACCTATGTCGGTTCTGCTTTCAGAACACTTGTTATTAAAGTTTTGAAATGATAGTGGCGTTAGTAAAACATATCTTAAAGTACAGATTAAAGTAATAATGAATAAGGCAACTTACATTGTCAGACTGATCACTCAGAACTAAGAAAAAGCGTGTACAAACAATTAGTATCCAATATATCAAATTCCACATATTTTAACGTGAACAGATTAAGAACGCTAACAAGAGAACATAGTTCCGGAAGTGATTATGGTTCCGGAAGTAAATACTTGTCTGATATAAACAACGCTCGTGAAATAAGCCGCGCGCGCATGTCTCAAAAGCTACGTCATTTTTTGGTTTTCACAATAAATATTAATAATACATTTTGCTTTAAATAATATGTTTACAATTATCTGAACTGACTTTTCCTGTGCTACATAAATCAAAGCACTGAAAGTGCTGTTATCTGAAAATACTAATACGTTAATATGTTACAGGTTTTTTCATTGGCTATCTTTATGACATGTTCTGATTTAATTCCGATAGTAAACATGATTTCAAAATACAAAAAAAATAAACCGTGTTTGTTTTCTTTGGTTCTATCAGCAAAGAACCTTTATATAATTATCTAGCTTTAATGTCTTTTACAGTAAATAAAACTGCAAAAACGGACCCTCTGAAAACCGGAATCTTCTGAAAACCGGACAATTTTAAAAGTCCCGTATTTTCTCCTTTTAAGTTATTTTAAAAACTCCTCTGAATACCACAGACACTTGGGGTGTGGAGCTCAAAACGCCTTAAAAAAAACAAATTAAATGCATATTTGTCAATCCCAGCACATGTACTGATCATATATATCAAAAAAACTAAATATAAGCCGTTTTGAAAAAAAAAAATCAAATTTCAACGTCTATAATTGAAAGGAAAAAAAATAACAAAGACAACAAAAAAGTATCCCGCTCATGTTGAAGTCATTTTCATCTGCTTCAAGAAAAAAGGAGGATTTTCCAGACTGTTTCTCCGTTTGGGCCCTGATTTGGTGTTATTTATTTTGAAAATTCACAATGAATGAATATGTTGGTTGCATGTTAATGGACAAAAACTGCAATTCTTTGATAAATACAGGAATAACATTTATTGTCGTCGAATCCGGGCTTGCAACATTTTAAAATTTGTCGTTATGGGCGTTCTATAGGGACTGACATTCTAGTGTACTTACACTACAACTTGTGATGAAATCCAAATGACATTGTGAAATCATATTGTTGACTTCTATAAAAAAAAGATTCACTTACCTGGACCAAGTAACACTGTATTGACACTTTGCAATTTAAGCTGATAAAAAAATCTTAAACTTACCTTTATGTTAAGCAGAAAACTGATTTGCTTCTCATATTTTCTCCTATGACAGCCATCTTTAAAAGCTGTCCATTCATATTTTATATTGAAGATTTCTTATTGTAAACACCAACGTCAGACAAATTTTACTTCAAGAAAGTAATTTATGTAAAGTTTATGTTTGTTTCAGGTCAGAATTCCTTAAGTTATCACTACATGTTTCTGTTTATTAAAGATTTTCGTTTTATATGGGATTTCAATATGGCCGCTATTGAAATCCTAGTTTTCAGATTCAGAAATTTGGCCGTCTGTCCATTGGAGGATCTCCGGATTTTTAGTGTTTCATTGGTGTATTTCAAACATCGAACCTTATAAAAGTCACAATCAAACCAATGATGTCACTTCGGTCTTGACGTCAAAGTATTGTAAATAAAGTTATAAAACCGCCAAAGTTCAAATTCAATAAATATCTTAAAACGTGACAGGTATCCAAACTTGTAAGTTGGTATGTATTGAAATCCAGTATTATTAATTCTCTAGAAATTGTTTGTGCCGAAACACTTGTTATAAACTTAGAAAACTGTATAAGAATTTTGAATTTTATTTTTTCTCATCCTGACATACGTTTACACCGTTTTTTTTAAGTCACTCAATTGATTAAAACTTTTTATAAGAAACAATGACAACGGAATCCATTGTTCCGATGGACCAGAAATACAAGTCAATAGTCAGGTCAAGTAGAATAAAAGAAAAGGAAATCTTAAGGACCCTAATCGACGCTTAAAACGGCAAAATAACAAAAGAAATTGAGGCAGACTCAGTTTGATTAGGCGTGGTTATGGACGGTAGTATTAAATGCGATCTACCGTCCACTTTATGAAAGATTTTTGTAGATGCAAACTTCTGTATACGTCCCTTTAGCACGGGCTATAACAGAATTCAATAGTGGTAACATACAAACCGTAATGTAACTATGTAGAGAAGAGAAAAGCAAAGCAGAATCCCCAAAGAACGCCCAAAACGATCTTAAGAGCCTGTCCATAATCTTCAGTCCATGCCCTGTATCACCGGCTAAATATATAGCTCTAGTGATTCGTGTTCTTTTATTTTCAAACACAAGGATTAAGCAGTAATTTTGTTTGGCTGACGATTCGGTTGCATTTGGCTTGATAAGATTTTTTTTCTTTTTGAAGGTAAACATATGGAATTTATTTAACAAAACATATCCGCTTTGCACCATAAAGGCGTATACTAGTGTTACATAGAGCATTATTGCAGCGTTAAAAGTAGATAATAAATTATATTTAAAGAATATGATAGCAAAAACCTTTTGGGCGAAACCTATATGGAGGTTACACCCCAGTTACACAGAGCCATCGGTGATTGATCGGTAGTTTTTTTAGCCAAATTATGGAGTGAACCTATGACAACGTATTTAACACCGATATCACCTATTGGTCACCTGTTTTCCACCTATCAACTGCTATTGGGGAAAGATAAGTTTCATCGGTGAAAAATTACCGATTGGGATTTTTAAACACGTTTAAAATTCTCGATCGGTGAAAATATTTTAAAAAAAACCCGACGGCAACCTATATCACGAGATATGCAAGCTCTTAATCACCGATATCGCCGATCGGACAAAGATAACCAAATATGAATCACCGGCCATATCTGACCGAAAGTGTTTAACCACTGATGACTAGCTATCAAACACCGACTAATCAGCGTTACGCCCGATTTAGCTCCGATTTACAAACGATAAAAACCAAAAGTATTTTAGCATGTTATCATCGACCCATTCCCGTTTGAGTTTGCTTTCTGTCACCGATGGCCGTTTACACAGAAAACCAGAAATAAAATCACGCATGACAACCGATCATAACAGCGAGTAAATTTAAAATTAAATGACCGATTGGGAACCGACCGTCTGTGTAACTGGGCCCTTACATGCTTCGTTTTTGAGTTATCTGCCATGTTGTGAGTTTTATTTATTTTTGTCTTGGTCGTATTACAAAATGTCATGACTGTCCATTAAACAGTTCTGTTCCTTTCATCCAGTTGAAGTTCGAAGACTGAAAATTCTCTGAACGGCTGACAATAATTTATCCGGAAAAGTTCATTCTGAGATAACAAGTTAAACATTGTGGTTTAAAATATTTTACTTATATTTTCAGTAATGGACAATGGATTGTTAAAGATGCGTTTTGGTTGTATTTATCACTTGTGGCCAAGGGTGACCTGTATTGTACTGTACAGGTGTTTGTCTTGGTGTTGGTATTGTATTGTATTTTATTTACTGTATTGTATTGTATTATATTGGATTGGGTTGGATTGGATTGGTTGTATTGTATTGTATTGTACTGGTGTTGTCCTGGAGTTGGTATTGCATTGTTTTGTATTAAAATTTATATTGGTGACTGTATTGTACTTTGTTATGTTATGTTGGTATGGTATGGTATTGTATTATGTTTAAATTGTATTGCATTGTGTTTGTATTGTATTGTATTTTATTTTATTGTATTGTTTTGTATTGCATTGTTTATAGAAACTCATTAACGTATATCTTATACAAGGATTACCAATGTTTCGGACAGAAACTGCACTTCGATCTATATTCATTGCATAATACTTATGCGAAAAAAAAGTATTTGCATAATTCAATACATTTATTGTCTCATTTATTTAAAAATATTATATATTGACATACAATTTCGTTTTCACAATTTATTACTAAATAAAATTTACATATTTACATTTAAAAACAAACCAGTACACGTATATAGCGCAATTCAAGTTACATCAAAGTAAGAACTGATACTTGAAACGTCACAAAACATTCAAAAAGAGTTCCGCACCATTTAGCCTCAGAAACGCTATCATGTTTTTGTTTTTCATAAGCTTTTCATTTTTAGTGCCCTGTTATTGTCTCCAAAAAAAGTTACCAACTAGCCATATAACTGAGCCCACTAGCCATATAACTGAGCCCACTAGCCATATATCTGAGCCCACTAGCCATATATCTGAGCCCACTAGCCATATAGCCATATATCTGAGCCCACTAGCCATATAACTGAGCCCACTAGCCATATAACTGAGCCCACTAGCCATATATCTGAGCCCACTAGCCATATAACTGAGCCCACTAGCCATATATCTGAGCCCACTAGCCATATATCTGAGCCCACTAGCCATATAACTGAGACATCTTTTACTTTGTTTGAGTTTTAGCAATGAGTACAGTTATAGTGATTTAGTATTTTGTATGGAAGTCAAAATACTACTTTATCTACATTCTTCTACCTTTATGACAAATTATTTTTTACATTCAGTACTATTTTCTTCAAGTGATAAGTATCTCATATTTTCTAAGTCCATTATTATAACATTTTAAAACACATATTTGATTTTCTGCAGAATAAAAAACCCAATTATTTCTGAGGCATAGTGTGCCTTTAATAAGCAATTTAAACAACATGAAAAAGAAACATGTAAACAAAATGAGTTCGTGAAGTTGCAAGAACAAATGAAAGTTTTGAAAGCTTTTCTATTACATAGATACGTGAGAATGGGCAGATGTAAGAATCAGTATGAATCAAAATTGATACAAAAATTGTACATGTACTTTTATGAAATTATCACAGTGAGTTATAATATCAACAACACGTATGATGTTATCAATTATCAAATAAAATCTGGTAAAGAATTTTACGCACAAGCGTATCACAGAGTACCCGTGGTGTTCACTTCTATATACATAAAATTAACAGGTATTCTAATGGATAATTTTTAAATGGTATGTAAAATATGAACAGGAAGATCTACACGGCAAAATGACGTTCAGGGACCGCAAACTTGTAAAATATGTACGTAGAAAAAAAAATTCATAAAAAAAACGTTAAAATTATTTCAACTTGCATACAACCCCAATATCAAATATACCTTTTAAACATATAAGTGCATTTAGGTGATTAGAGATTTTGCCTTTATCGTGAGCAAAAATCATTCAGTCGTGTAACTATATATTTTTTATAAAGATCAAAATATAGAGTTCGATAATAATGAATAACATTATAAACCCATCAAAATGTAAATGGTGGGTGAACAAGTAAAATTCAAAATAACTTAACGTTTGAGCTATAATTGCTTTCATATCTATAAATTAATACGCATGAATGATCATTAATCTATATAAATCAAGGAAAATTTCTATAAATATCATTCAAAATTTATCAATAACATTCAGTCTTTTTTTATCAAAAGAGTGCGGCATTCCTCTTAAATATTGTTTTTGTATTTAATATTATACATTTGACATTATTGTCCCACTTTTGAAATTTCTAGATTACAGTGTAACAGTGTAGATTTTACACAATGTCACTTAAAGATACATCTGTCGAAAATAATGTGATTTTATACTCATGCGTGTAATAGAGAATGATTAGTAAAAATCAATCATTTGTTATTTGTCCGGGATACAGCATGCCCCCAGATGAGGCAAAGTATGTCAATAAAATCATAATTGAGAAAAATGTACTAATATTTTAGAAAAAGTAAAAAAGCTTCACGATTCAAGTAATAATTTACATGTTTTGTGTGATTAATTACTAATTTTTCAGTTTTAATAACAATATGTCTACTGCGTTACTGAGTTATCACGCAGTAAGGGTAAATTTTGTAAACTGTAACCTCTTTTGAGGTATTTTTCGTCGGTTAAAAGTGCTATTGATAATGTGTTAATTGCTTCCTTTTGGTTACTTCATGATATTATACTTTTAGATACATTTTCAAAATTTTCAAGAAAATATCATGAATCTAGAGGCATGCTGCTTTAAGTCTGCAGCGTTTTGCTGTGTCCTAAAGTTTTCCGTCGAATCCGGAGTTTGGTTGTCCCATGTTATACTTGGACGAAGATGAGCTCTTTTTAGAGTTTATGGCACAACAAATACCGAGTCCGAACAAGACTTGTAAGGAAACCACGGCGATCAACAAACCCAACAGGACGTTGTAACGCGATTCTGTCATGTACTGGTTCTCGGCTAAAAAATGAAAGGAAATATTAACATAATATTTAACTTAATAAATTCGATTCAAACGTTTATTGCAATAAAGTAAATACATACTTATAGCAAATTACAAATGATAGAAAATACATGTAAACATGAAATTTTCGAGAAGCATAGTATACAGAAATATAAACAAATATAATTAATATGTTACATTACATTAAGCATAATCAAAATATAATAGAGATAGAATTCTTAACATTTATCAAAGAAATCAGCATCATATATAATGAAATATATAATTGTTATGTCAAAAAAGAGAAAATGTATGTAAAGAAATATTTTAAAAAGTTTTTTCTACAAATGCAGGCTTTATTTTCATCATGTGATATGATAATTATCATGTTTCACTCTTGGCTACCGTCACTTATGATTTTTTTTCAAACCACTGATGAAATTAAACCCAGTATTTTTAGATAAACTTAAATATGCTCTATATAGTAATAAATATTCATGCAAACGTGACACCGCCTGTTCATGTTCCATGTTAGCATACTTCACGCAACCGTGACACGACCGGGCCATGTTCCATTTTTAAGACAACCATGACACTAACTATTCTACACCAAGTTATTTTATTACACCAGTTAAAGGTCAAAGCCTTCTGTAATTAGGACATAAAACCCATTCAACCAACATTCTTTTTTATTTATTCAAAAGGATAAGCTAATTCTATGAAATTATAATGCATAACCTTCATCAAGATAACAAATATACAAACAAAACGGAGATCGCTGGGTTCAAACCATACAAGGGTAACGCAACTGTTACCTCTTAAGTCACCGTTATTGGACATGTCGTGAAGCAAACTTGAAAAATGCTGATACTAATTGCAAGAACTTGTTAAGTATGCGAGTACAAAAACATTTGTTTAAACTTTTCTTCAAAGCTAAGATGGAACTCAGTCGGCACATACGTTTCGGTACGTTAACGTGTAGTACTAGTTTTTATAGGTATATTTTGCGTTAAATGTTAGAAAACAAGAGCTGTCACAAAACGTAACAAATGCCCCCGAAGGATTCTAGTTATAAACCACCTATTACGTGTTAAGTGTGGTGGTAAAAATTGACAAAGTTCGAACCCCGGCAGTGACATTTAAGTTAGACAAAGAAACCTGAGTCTTGTTCACAACACATTTTCCATCTATGGTGACGTTATATTTTTAAATAAAAATTGAAACTTTCATGTATATGGAAGTTACAGAGCAGTCACAACAACCACCATTTATATGTATATAACATAAATATTGAAAAAAACCAGCAGTGACCTTGAACTAAGGCGTAGGAACAAGGCAACACATATACATTTATGATAATTTCATATGTGAAATGAAAAATATAATCCTTTCATGCATATTAGTTTCAGAGCAGACACGACCATCTCTGCCTATATATATATATTAACATCAAAATTGACAAAGTTTTAACCCCACAGTGACCTTGGCCTTAGTCGTAGAAACCCCGAGTCTTGTTTGTGACATACCATACATCTATGCTAAATTCATATGTGAAAGAAAAATTAAAATCCTTTCATGCATACCCAAGCTTCTGAGCGGACACCCTATATTTATATAACATAAAAAATGAAAATGACAAAGTTTGAACCCCCAGACTGACCTTTATCTAAGTTAAAGAGACCCAGGTTTTGTTCGCCACACACCAAACATCTATGGTTATTTCATATGTGAAAGAAAAATTAAAATCCTTTCCAGCATACTGAAGTTTCTGAGCGGACACGACCACCACCGTCTATATTTATTTAACATAAAAAATGACAAAGTTTGAATGCCCAGAGAGACCTTGACCTAAGTCGTAGAAATCCGAGTCTTGTTCGCCACACACAATATATCTATTGTCATTTCATATGTGAAAGAAAAATTAAAATCCTTTCATGCATACTTAAGTTTTAGAGCGGACTCGACCACCACATTCTATATTTATATAACATAAAAATGACAAAGTTTGAACCCCTAGAGTGACCTTGATCTTAGTCGTAGGAACCCGAGTCTTGTTTGCGGCACACCATACATATATGGTTAATTCATATATGAAAGAAAAATTAAAATCCTTTCATGCATACTGAGGTTTCAGAGCGGACACAACCACCACTGTCTTTATGTATAAAACGGGACGGACGGACGGACTGACTGACAGACTGACTGACAGACGGACGGTTCGATTTTAATATGCCACCCTTCGGGGGCAAAAAAAGTAATTTTATTTTTACCTGACTCCGGCTCCATCATGGTCTTATTATTGGTCGGCTCATCTGAAATTATCATAATAAATTAAACCACCATTAGTCTTTAAAGCCAATAAAAATGATGCATTCTGTAATATGGTCCTTAGTGATTAAATTGAACCAATGGCTGGTAAGCAACAGTTAGCAGAATCGGGATCAAGCCGTGCAAAATACCTTCAATATTTTTAAATAAATATGTTTTAATCAAACTGCTATCCAAATGAATGTTTAAAGACATCATAGTCGAGTGGTTAACGGGTCCGGCTTGGATTTTCAGGATCGATAGCTGCGTTGGTTCAAACCCCATCAGTAGCGAGCCATTGTTTTCTTGGGCATGATTCGAGAGTTACTCAATTTGCTTATTTAAACATTTGGTTAAAAACGTATACTTACCTTTATTAACTAATCGATAGTCGCTCGGTGGGAAAGAATGGCATTCTGGGAAGCCTCGAGGCGGTGTCGGTAAATCATTGAATGATTCATTCAGCAACATCTGCATTCCGTCTAGATTATGCAGTTCTATATGACAATGCATGTTCCATAGACCCGGATTATCTGCCCTTATCCTTATTACAACGTAGCCACCAGTCGGAACTATAATTGTATCCTTGCGCGGCGGACGATCTAATTCTAAACCAGGCACATTACCGTTCAGCCATGCTGCATTACTCCATGTTGCGTCGTTACAAAATGATTTTTCGCGATCAGTACCTCCTCTGCAATCGACATCAATATTATCTGCTTCAATTTTTGCAGACGTTGCGTTGTATTGACCATATCCCATTTTAACAACATAGAACGAGTGACCATGCATATGAATCGGATGGGACCATCCTTTGCCGATTCCCATATTCATAAAAGTCATTTGAACTGTGTCACCATTTCCGATTTGAAGAGCATGTGTGCATTTGCAATGCCTATCGTCTCCACATTCTGGTGATTTACATGGGGAGTACCACTCTTTGGGCTGTAGAAGGGGGTTGACATCTGGGGTGTCGAATGTTTTACCATTTACCGAGCCAGGATAGGATGTGATTCCCGGAAATGCAAAATTTAGAAAATATTCTTTGAACTTCCCCGGCATATAAGAAGGGGCAGGGTCATCTGTTACTTTAGCTCTCAATTCGTCGAACGTTCTACAAACGGTATTCGGCGCTGGATAATACGTAAACGGACAGTTTAAAACGAGACATGGACTGTCTGATGTGCAATTATGCCTTGTGGTTGTCGGTTCTTCTGCAGGTGCGCCGACATATCGTAGTATAGCATCTGCAAAATGAGGAGTGTCTTTTTGCAGAGTTTCACCCCTTATCCAGTAATTTCCAACGTCATTATTAGCTGTTATTTCAAAGTCAAACCGTTCACCAGGATTTATGACAAAGGATTCTGCTTCAACTGGCTCCAGATCGTAGCCATCTGATGCTATCACTGTCATAACGTGGTTGTCAACAGAGATTCGAAAAGGATACAAAGAGCCAACTCCAATTACTCTGAATCGGTATTTCTTTCCCTGGGTCACGCTGAAAACAGTTAGAGGAGCTTGGTTGTGTTTCCCAGTCTCAGGGTTGTAATACCGCCCCTTTCCATTGATAAGGCCTGACTGAACTTTGAAGAAACTGAAGAAACTACCATCAAGTGACTGTGTACCGCCCCATTTCTCTCTTCCTTCATATACTCCATACAACATTTTCATATGACCTGTATCTGAGTCCCAGTCGTGATTCCAATCTGCAATTTGCATAATCCTATCTTCTACAGTAGTCTCATGTCTGTCTTTGATAATGAAAGCTCCACTAACTCCCATTGATCGCTGCGCTCCCATGTGAGAGTGCCACCAAAATGTCCCCCTTGGCTTTGCTTTGAACTTGTAAACAAATGTTTGGTGTGGGTGTATCGGACACTGTGTGACGTAAGGAACTCCATCCATCCAAGGTGTGTCTCTTTGGTGTAAACCATGCCAATGTATGGTCACTGCGTTGCTAGTGAGCATGTTTTTCACGTGCACAATTATAGTTTGACCCTCGTACACTACTATATCTGGCCCAGGAAACTGCCCGTTAACAACCGTCACAAGTCTTGGTTCTTCCCATCCATCAGTTGTTATGACGTTATCAGTTGATACAGGTTGAGCACTTGACGTATTTGTGACGTCATATTTGTAGATGTTGCCATTTGCAGGAAATACTAGTGTTTTCTTGTCCATCATTGTCAGTCTTGCGTCCACTTCAAAGTAAAACACACATTCCTTTTCGTTCATTGGACATTCGCTAGCGTAGCATGACCACGCTACACAAGCGATAGTTACCAGCAGATGAATCCAGGACATCGCCCCTGAAATGATATGAGTATTTGAAATGAAGAACATTTGGAGCATTGGAATTGCTAGAAAGAAAAAATAGAATACAATTATAAATGCATGTATGAAAACTTAAGGGAGCTCCACTGAGGTCAAAAAGCCTAAAAAAACATAAAATTTAAAAATCTTACATACATAAACTATGACACAAAACGGAACAAAATATGCATAATACGTATTCTGAAAAATGAAACCATATACTCCGAATTCAATTGGAAACGATATTTATTGCTTTGTCCGATTTGAGGTAAAAGTTTTACACAAAAGACGCACTATTCTGCGGAAAATGGTGAGCCAGTGTTATATTTGATTGTATATCAGTTGTTATTGTTTGTTTTGTTGCTGTTTATTTGTTGTTGTTGTTGTTGTTGTTGTTGTTGTTGTTGTTGTTGTTGTTGTTGAAAAATTAAATATTTTAAAAACTTTACTCCTTCAAAGACTAAAAAAATTAAACCTTAAACTCATTAACAATAAATATCGATGCCAGTATTTTTGTTTGTTTGTTGTTGCTGTTGTTTTTGTGGGGGTATTTGTATTTTTGTTTTATTCTATTTTGTTGTTTGGTTGGTTTTCGTTTGTTATTGTTTGTTGTTGTTGTTTGTTGTTGTTGTTGTTGCATAATCGGTTCGAATCCCGCCAGCGACTTTGAATTATTTCATATGAGTAAGCTATATGACTAGCTTACGGTGTCAGCTCGTGTATGAAATACCAAGATAAATCACGTATGGGCGCGCACCTGAGGTATACATATATTTAATGCAAAATTTTAAGCATTCACGGTACTTGCGAAGCAAAGTCACTACGACCTTTAAAAAACAGTGCGTCAGCCAATTTTTATATTTTATTGTGCGACCCAATTCAAACGACGCCGAAATATGCAAATCATATTATGTTTGGTGTCTCTGTTGAAATATGATAATTTTCCTGTCTTCCAATCACAATGGAATGGGGGGAAAGTTGCGATTGCTTAAGTTACATAAATACATATGGTATTATGCTTTTTTGATATTCGATATCATTCTGCCGACTACCACGTGACACAGGCATGTCAGATATAAACAAAAAAAGACACACAAACAAAATACAGCTTTTTAAGTGCAGTTATGTTATCAGAACGTCGAGTACTGATATGAGTTTAAAGGCACTTTAACTTCCCAGAAATGCTTTTAAATTTCTTTTTATTTTTGATGTCCTGTTATAGTTTCCAAAAAGGTAGCATTGGTCAGTTACATGAACCATCTTTAATTGCTTCTCCTATTTTTAACAAAAGTACAGTTATAGTGATAGGAAGTCAAAATACTACTTTGTTAACATTTTGCAACTTTTACAGAACTACTTTCCCCTGGTGAAAAAGCATATTACATGCTCTAAAATTTAATTTGCAACATTTACTTAAGAAGAAAACCAAATTCGTCTCTATGGCATTATTTGCCTTTAAGATAGTGGAAAAGTGAAAATATTGCAAGTATGATAAAGTATGGTGGCTGATTTGGTACGCTTTTGTACCTCTAGTTGGCGCTTGCGACAACACAACAAAGCGCCAAACGGCGCGTTGTTGGACTTTCCTCTTGTCGTCCTGTCGCTAGCGACAACATGACAAAGCGCCAAACACCTTTGTCGTGTTGTCGCTAGCACAAAAGCGTACCAAATGAGCCACTATATTTAAGTGAAATATTACTTTTTGTTTACCCTCTATTATTGTTGTGCTATTGTTCTTTTGAATAAGAATATGAAATCAAGTTACATGTACATACTTGTTTCTAAGCAAGCTTTGCACTTAGTTTACCATCTATATTGCTCCTGGCAGCAACTGGTTCAACCATGCGGCCTGACCGTTGTCTGCACTGTTTGTATGGTTTTAACTTTATATATTCAAGCTCGATTGCGAAACAAGTTCTTGCAACTTATATTAATCACTTTCGAGTCCGCTTCCTGGAACCAACCAGTACTGGTGTCATATGAAGAAACATGGTCGTGACCCGAGTAGGGCTCGAGCCCATAATCTCTGGGTTGAAACCACTAGGCTACCACTCCCTTTCACTGTTTGTTATTCAGTCTGTTTTATATAAATCCTGTTTAATCTTAAGTACGCCACCGTTACAAATTGTTTTCCTTATTTTAAAACCGTTTAAATATGACTTTTATGTTCTTAAATAATTTAATATGTGGTCAACGCGTCGGACTAGTGATCTAAGGATTGCTGACCACGTGGGTTCAAACCCTGTCAGGGGCAAGCCGTTGTTTCCTTGAGCAAGAAACTTTATATTCATTGTTTAGTACTGGTTGGTTCCAGGAACGGATTCGAGAGTGTTACAATGAGCTTATAGCTTCCAACACAATCGAACTAAAAATAAATTTGTATAATCTAAAGGCCCATTATGCTTCATATGTGATTTTATTCCTCAAAAGCTACTTAATTTTGGTGCCCTGTTATAATTTCAAAAACTATTTACTCATTGCACAATTTAATGAACCTCCTGATGTTGTTGTTTTTTGTTGTTGTTGTTTTATGTTTGTTTGTTGTTGTTTTTTTTACATTCTGTGCTACTTTCTTTTATGTAATAAGTATCTAAATGCTATAAAACCATCATTTAAGCATTATAAAAGTCAAGTTTGCCTTTTGTAAAGAAGGAATAATTCATTTATTTCTTAGGCATAACATGCCTTTAATCACTTTATAAAATATTCAAATTCTAGGATTTATAAATTGTTACCCCTAAGTAGTATAATCTTTCTGTCTATGCGGCGTAATATCACGTAAAGTTATAGTATGACATCTTATTACATTCGTACTTTCTTTTTTTTACTTGTGACGTTTCAATTGAAAGGCAAAAAAACTTCTTAAGTACAGTAAGCCATGCATTTCATAGTTTATCATACTTTTATATTTATATTTGCTTAATATTTAGAAATGAATGACAATATCAACAGCCTTGAAAAAAGGAATTCATGCATATAATAATGACTGAATATTTACTTTCAAAACCTTTGTGTTGTAATACATGTATTTAGATATTAAATACAGTTAAGTACAGTTTTCGTGTATAAATCCGATATTATGCAAATATATGGCGACTTTTATGTTTTTTATTGTTGTTGTGTGAGTACGTGCGTGTGTGTGCGTGTGTGCTGTGTGTTTATTCTATTTATTTATTTCCTTATTTATTTTATTTTTAAAGAGACCTAAAGTGCTCCTACGTGCACTATTTTAAGTTATCATGACATTGAATTAACTTACAGTGGCCAGTAACTTTCTTTTGCCCAACAGGAGTGAGACAGTTTCACGCCTTGTTTGTTATGTTTTTAATTTCATTGTATCCTCTTTCTTCCGAAATTGCAGATTCTTAAAGATTAAACAGATAAAAAGGGACAACTACTCGTAAGGTCCTTTGCTTCCCTCAATAGTTCCAACTTATCTGTAAGCCAAAAAATGAATAGTCCAGCGAGCAATTATCTTCGAATCTTAATTGTTTTCTCGAAATACTGACCCAAAGTTTGTCGATTGAGTAAAGTTTCTGCCAGATAGTTTCACGTTTCAAGAGTTAATTCAGCATAAACATACAAGGGGCCAGATACGAAGGGGTGCATCTTTTGCCACGAGGGACTTCATATATAATCTAGCTGTAGATGCTTTGTAAATGCATGCAGGCCTTGTTCATTCTAAGTGACTTCTCTGACTGAATCTTGACCGCAACATTTTTGTAAATCTCGTATAAACTATGTAAAGAAACATTCTTATACCCCCAAAACGACACTTTTCCAATATTTCTGTTTTTGACACTCTATCCGAATAGACAATTTATCTGGCAAAATGACATTATTTCAAAAACAAGTTCTTTTTTGTAATCATTCCAACGGACACGCTAGCAACAGGTTTCTTTTTTTTTTTTTTTTTTTTTTTTTTTTTTTTAATTTTCAACAGTATCGTTAGAAACTATTTTTGTCTAAACACAGCGCACGAAGGTAAATAAAAAGACACATATATGGATAAAATGATTGAGCACGCGCCATTATTGCATATTTGAGCCGCGTCATGCCAAAACCAACATAATGGATTTGCGACCAGCATGGATCCAGACCAGCCTGTGCATCCGCGCAGTCTGTTTGGGATCCATGCTGTTCGCTATCAGTTTTGCTACTTGTGATAGGGTTGGTAAGCGGACAGCATGGATTCTGATCAGACTGCGCACTGCACAGGCTGGTCTGGATCCATGCTGGTCGCAAACGCATTATGTTGGTTTTGTCGTGACGCGGCTCATTTTTTAATATGCGAAACCAAAGACACTATGTAAAAGTAGCGCACTGCAATTGGGGCCTAAAAAAAAGTTTCATTTCCAAAACATTACTGCCAAAATGACATCGCACTAGCACATTAAGAGTATGACAAAAAATGGTTTCCATTAAAGAAGTACAGATAATAAAACGCAGCATAAATGATATTGAGGTATGCTTATATGCAAGAATAGCGCTAATGCACCTTTATTCGTGCATATACATCAGACAGAAGCCTAACTTATCAAATCCTTCACACTTCCAAAAATGTCCTCGTATTTTTGCAAATCTTAATGCACGAAAAAAATGCAGTAAAAACTAAATTAAAACATAATAGTTTGACTTGTGACTTTAAATGATTCAATTATCTGAGTAGATCATGATGCTGCAAGTGCGGAAGCGCGTGCATTTATCGTGTTTATCAATAAGCGAATATTCTAATAAGTAAAAAGATACCTGCATCCGCTTTTCAAATTTCATAATACTATGATTATCAGGTAAAGGTGTTTCACTAAAAAAAAAAATGTTATTCAATTTTATTAAAAAATATATCTACATTGCTAATACGTGTATAATAAATGACATGGGTCAGTTATTAATAAGGACATATAGTACATTAACCCTTGGATAAACAGTAAATCCGTAGAAATGAATAAATTAAATATCCATAGAATAGCGAACTGGGGTTTTAAAATGTTTAATGACCTCAGAAATAAAAAATATATTTCATTTAATACAGTGGAGGGTACGCTTAAACGTATATAATTTGTATTTTATCTTTTTATCTTTTTGTAGGTGTATTTTATGCAAATATTGACTTTCTTTTTAAGCGATCTCCAAGTTCGTTTGTACATGTATATTGAAATTTACTGAAAAAGGGTAAGCATAATCGGCAAAGTCCGGTAAAATTCGCAACATTCCGTGAGTTATAACTATTCAAAAAATTAACTTACAGAATAAGAAACAACAAGAAACAAACAATATATATAATATATATAAATTACTTTTGTTACAACAGTCGATATTATTTGAAGGGCTTGTCATTTTTCAGTAAAATGAACGTTGATTTTGAATTCCTGCGTAAAATGTATGAACACGTACTATGAAGTTCAAACTACATTTAATCACGCAAAAAGTAAACGTAAAAGTTTATTTCTTGTAACAAAGGCCCGGCCCAAAATACAACATAATAACTTTTACTTTTTAATCTCGTATTGATCTACTAATGTGTGGTATTTTTTTACTTTGTTTGTTTTTTGTTGTTTTTTTTTTTTTTTTTTTTTGTTTTTTTTTGTTTGTTTTTTTTTTTTTGTTGTTTTTTTTTTTTGGGGGGGGGGGGTTATCCAATGACATAATATATGTGACATTAAGCCCATCTAAGTGTTAATTTATTAATTCAAGTTCAATAGTTAAAGGCAAATTAGTTTACATTTTGTCATAATCATAATTGTGTTCAATTTTATATTTTACTATACTAAGATATTCAATAATCCACGTGACCCGCAGACAATTCTATAAATATCATTCGGAATTTATCGGTATCGTTCAATATTTGAAAAGAATGGGGCAGTCTTTTAGGTTTCAATTTCTTCGTTATCAATGACTGGTCAATCGCCATTACAACAGTCAGTCTTTTGAAACACATTACTAATTCAACTCATTTTGATAGCGAAAAAATGAACATAATGTCATTTTAATAACAGCGCTCGAGTCAGCTTACTACTAGTAGTATGTCCTAAGATAGATATATAATCTACTCTCGTCGATATTAACTTTATTTAACACGACGAAATAATTTGGATCGTTCATCACTTTCAACAAATACAATATTATCAAGTTTGCCCCAGATTTCTGAACCATGACCATCTTTGATTATATAAATGCTTACAAGTAAAATAGGTCATGGGAAATGAGCTTTTGAAGCAGACCAAAATTAGAACTAACCACTTGATAAAAATAAATATATGTCCATCCTTGTGGAACAAATATAAGCAAGATTTAAACGAGGACCAGATTTAAGGCGACGCCCCCTCTCCTCGCTAAAAGTCCCCAAATCAATGATTGAAATAAATGAAGCAGCATTCAAGTATAACGCGCTCGAATATAACTTATTTTAAACCATTGAGTTGACGTGAAAACGCACAATCATTTTTGGCATATATAAATGTTCCCCCTACACCCCACCACTCACACGTTCCATCAGTAAAGCCTAGTTACGCTCCTTCAAATATTTAAATTAACCTCTATCACGATAAATATATTTAATGTACTTGTTTAGCTTACAATCTTGACAAAACCATTCATCACTTTAAGGGTTTTTTTTTGCTTAATTGAGTTGTATAATATAAGCGGGATTGTGGTGTTTTTGTTGTTGTTTTTTTTTTCGGCCGGAGGCCATCTGAATTCAGTTTGACTTCCTGTAAAACTTACAGGAAAGAACTGAATATAAGAAGAATATTCATTGGTCATTTTAAATTACAAATTTAAATCTAGGAATCTCCTAGGCCATTTAAAATAATATATAAAGGATAGTTCTTGCCTTTCTAAAAATTTTAACTAAGTTTATTTTATAGTTATAAATTTTGTTAAAAATAACGAGACCACCAATAACGTTCACGACCCTGTAAGTTTACTAAGTTTGCATGAAAATATCGAAAAACACACCAAAATGTAAGAACTTATCGGGTACCTTTTGGTTATGGTGTTCAAAACGTTGATGCGTTGCAGTAATATAATGTTTATAATTTCAGAATTTATTATCCTTTTTTCTACATGCATTTGCACTATTTCATATACTGTCAATATTGCATATGTTAACAACGTCAAACGTAAACGCAAGTAAAAGGGACACTTAAATAAATATTGTAAAATAGAATTTTTTGTTACCTACAAGAAATTATTATGTCACTGTTATGCAAGCATTTCTTACATTACTATGTGTAATGAAAACTTAGAAATAACATATGCATCTTAACCAGTTTACTTAAGGCGAATATCTTTTTATAAAGATACTTCCTGTTTCAAATGTGCATATAAATTCTGCGTTATTTCCTTGGCAATACAAACTCGTTTTCAACTTTACAGTATCGCCCTGATATCACAATGTTACATCATCATTAATTTGTTGTCTACTGTACATGTATTTGTACATTGAAAAACAGTTGGAAATGCTAAGATGCTAATTTAAGGTTTCTAAAATACACCGTCATGCGACAGTTAGTTTACGAGAACTCTGTACATAGTTAAAATTTCACGTTTGATGATTTTTTTCTGAAATAAAAGGATGGACAGATGAAGGTAAAAAACAAACATTTAGGCATAAATAACCATTTTAGACAATGTTTAATTCATTTACTCTTTTTAACATTGACTTAAATATGCACTACAAGAATGATTCATCAAAATGCGTATCTCTGTATACTTTCTTTACAACATATCTTGAGAGACCCTGCCTTAGAAGACCTTTTAAAAACAAATAGTACAATAGTACAATAAACTAATTACAAATAAAGTCATTTTGCAAATACTTATAAAATATAACATCACATTTCGTATTGTATTGCCTGAGGGTGTTTACTCGTTTACTCTGTTTTTCAAAACAAAAAGAAAGGCCTAAATACTAAAATAAAAAAAACCTGTGAAACTATGACCTCATTCTCGAAATGCAGTGACAAGCGAAACTTACAAATTATTCATTGCTCAGTACTATTTGATCCCAGGAACGGATTCAAGAATGAGGTTATAAGCTACACAATCGGACTAAAATACTATATAAGTGTCCTATAAATAGCGTTGTAAATAACGCGTAATTCTCAAAAATACCCATTACGCTGGTGCAAATTTTGATAAGATCATGTGTTGGCAGTTTAACAAATTCTAAACAACTTTTTACAAAAAAAGGTGTCGTTATATCAATATTTTTCTAAATAAAGGCATAATAAGTATATACAATGCCTTTTTGGTTTGTTTTGATACATTGTGACTGTTTTTGTTGAAAAAAATAACAACAACAAAAAAAACCACCAAAAACAGTGACAACCTTTAAACCGACACAAAATCATAAAATTTCATGTATTTAGTCTTAGACCTTAATATGCATTAGACCGCGATATATAATAATTAAATTGAAACATTTACATAATAATCATTTTGATATTTCATTTGTATAAACAATTTTTTTTCCTAAATGCTAATTCATCATATCTATTGAAACGGTCGGTTGTTTTATATGATACATTATTTACATATTTAATTTACATAAATAATATGCAGTAAAAAAAAAATTGAGACACAAATGATAAACATATTTCAAAAACGAAATTAGATATATCAATAAAAACATAAAAATAAATTTAAATATTTACCCATCATTTGCACTTAAAGCTCCAAGATCAAATACGGTCTTCGTCACTACTATTCGTTAAATATATAAGAACATTCAACGCTTGGCCGACTGTTAAGCAAAACCGAAATCTCTAATCGGGTACAATGATTTTGTAATGAATAAACCCTCGGTCCTTGCTTCAAATAAATGTTTAATACCACATATATCGAATTACTCGAAATATTGACGAACTATTTATATCATAAAAAAAACTTATTAATCTGTTTTTATCTCTCACCTTTTCATTTATAACCAATGAACGTTCAGCACTTGTACTGTGTAGTGTTCCAATATCCTTATTGGATGTAATCTTATCAATTAAGATTTATTTTTCCTTCTTCAGCCCTCTTGGGCCCTCAAAAAATCTTATTGAATTCATATCGTACTTCATTTCCCGAAACCAAAATTCCATATATAAACCATTTTGTTTCTCCGATAGAATTGTTTTCCAAGTCCCATTTTTCCATATATAATCCATATTGTATTCGAAAGATATGTGTATAATTTATACAATACAAAACGCTGTTGATTTGGAGTGTTGTCTTAAATTGAATATGTTTCCCCTTTGGGAAATTAGGGATGTGAATAAAAAAAAGTACATTATACATTGTTGAGTGCCATACTGATTCTATTGCTACAAAACATATGCCAGACTTGGCTAGCGCCTCGTCCAATATAGGTTTAACAGCTGTATGACCGATTAGTAGAATTCAATATTGTACTCATCAATGTATAAAAACTTCATCTTACTTTCCTTTTTACCTCATAAGGCTCAGCTTAATTGAATTTTAACGAGTATAAAATCTGTCATATGTATCAAAATCTGCATTTTCTGTTATCAATTTTAAGATTGCTAATAAATTCCTTGCAAGAGTTTAGAGATGTAATTTTTTCTGTGAACCTATTATTTATTCAATATCATTTGCTACATATATACGATACAGATGATATCCTGCACTTCATTTGAAAATAAAATAATGCAAATTTATTATGAGTATTATTATGCATTATCAGACCTTGTGTACACTATATATTATATACACTTATTCACTTTATTATTATAGTTATACACTTGTTCAGAATAACATTCACACACTTTGATGTTTGAAACAATGTAGGCCTTCTAATCGTGATCTGCATAACATTACATTTTTTATAAGTTTAACACATATTCTTTGGTATTTGGATCGACTTTTATTTGAAAGGTTATTCAAATATACATGTGCATAATATTTAGATATAGTATATCAATTTTCAGCTTGATTTTATGGTACTACAAATTCGCTAAGAGTCACTTAATTCTTTATTCAGGAGACATAAAAATCATAAAAAATATAAATAAAATAGGTGTACAATAAAAATTTCAATACATGTATACATTCAGTTTCACGAGAAATGGTATACTCAAACCCCTAAATAGTGGCCCTTTTGCTTCGCTACGCAGCAAATGGTGTTTGTGGTTTACCTACGAAAAACGGTATTTTAGTACATTTTTCTATTAGTAAATGTCAAATTGCGAAAAAACAAACTCGTGCTGTACATAACTTGTGTTTTCTTATGATAAGATATGAAATTTTGCTTGTATTTAAGTTTTATTTTTTATCGTGTACGGTAAGGTGCTAACGGGCAATGGTATTACAGAAAAATAAATGTTTTGTCATTGTTGTCAAGCATAACAAAATAAAAACAAAATGTGCTATTTTATCACGAAAAAAGGTTAATGCTTAAAATCTAAGAATTCTTTATTACGGTCGTTGAAATGTTATTAAGTCGCTTTAGGTTCGGGCCGCTCAAGCGCCTTCGTATTCTTTCATGTGAGAAAGCTATCCAAATAGCTTACGGAGCGTCGGTTGTTCTACTCTGGTGCCCGACGCAAAGAGGGGCATCGGAGGTCTTCCTGGAAAGTCGCCATATTACATATACTGTGTTGGTGCGACGTAAAACCCAATAAAAATGTCATAAAAAAAAAAGAAAAAAAGTCGCCGTTTAGCATTTTCATAACCGTGACACCTTTAATCCTTAGTCCTGGAATGCAACTGGTAAGGTTATAATTTACTTCGCAAAGTACCCTGAGTCATCTTCATGTTGCCGACGTATAGGTGCTCGCCTTCAGCAACTCGTTTAATAAATATTCTAACATCTAAACTGTGCAACAATATCATTTTTACAGTCTACGTATATTTGATTTTGCATTGTCATATATGTGTATGTGACGTCACGAAAGTAATGTGACATCACATTTTAAATAAATTTGACCATGATTCTCATTCCTACTGAAAAAGAAATCACAATTAATATAGTACCATTCACCAAGATTAAAGAACCAAATCGTTCCCGTTTAAAAAAGTAAAGGACATTTCGTATGCATACATCTATGCACAATGCAATGATATTATTTCTGAATTCTGAGGTGTTAGTGTTTCGTTTTGCATATACCATTCGGCAATAAACAACTTGTTTTATAAACTTTTTTTAAATTCTCACATATATCCCTTTTTAAGATAGTTTAAATTTAGAGAAGAGCTCGTTTAACAAAGCATTCTTTTTAGGATAAATAGATCAAATTATTTTTAGTTTACATTTTAACTTGCACTGAATATAAAGACGTGTACATATTTACATCGGGAAAAAATGTAAATTTATACTTAACAGTCTTCAAACAATGAATTACATTCAAACTTTCCTTTTTTTTCAGATTGTTTTCTCAGTGCAAACATTACGTTATATAAAGTTTGAATTTATGTAACATTTGGAAAGAGGTCACGTGATAAATTGTAATCCTGTAATCAGTAAGTTCCGCGTTCAAAAAGCTCGCTTATTGGTACAATACAAATGTAGGAAAGTTAAATCATGTTTTAAAAAAGAAGTTTGATAAGAGGGATTTACGTTCGGTAAGTTGTAATGACACCACTTAGATGGGCTTGTTTATGTATGGCGGTATTTGAAATAGAATCTATCGAGATTGTTGTATGAGTTGATGTTAGCTGAAGGTCCAGTCCAAGCCATTAACGGTATGTGTATGCAAACTATCAGATCATTGGTTCACTCTTTTTTCATTGTGCTATATTTAATACAGGATATATTTCATTATTATCGTTTTATTTGCCATTGTTTATCTATGGAAGATTTTCAAATTTTATGTCAATAGGCTTTTGAAGTACAGTGAATCCCCTTTAACTTTTTTTTTTTTTCCGTACGATCTTTTAAGCGATTTACGACTTAGCGACGATTTAAAACGCGCATAACTGAAAGTATTAAAGTCAGTGTTGTTATATTTTTCTGGTCCTTCGGGATCATTGATGCCAGCACTATTAAGTGTAGAGAATTGAGTACCGCTCAAGCCGGTGCTAGGGTTGTTTCCAGATTTTAATAATGACAGTCACAATGCAATGGAATGTTTTTTGTTTTTATTATTATTATGATTTATTATTATTATTATTTATTTCTTTGTTCGTTTTGTGTTGTTTTTCCACGATCTTAAAAGCGGTTTACGACTAAGCGATTTAAAGTGGATAAACTGAAACTATTAAATAAATTATAATAGTGTTGGTAAAGAGAGAAAGATAAATGATCAAGGTTTTTTAACCTTGTAATCAAGATCGAAAAAAAATAAACTCTCTATTCTATATCATATATCAGAAGAATATAAACTTGTTATCTATTTGAAACAAAAGTGGTTAACCCGTGTACCAGTAAAGACCCAGGTCATGTTAACTTGTTTCATAATTATCTCATTATCATAAATTAATATTTGAATCTCCGTATGGTAATTTTGTTTGCTTAAGTTTTAATATCATTTCAATTATTTTTTAACTTTATTGTAAAATCCTAAATTTATTCTGCAGTGTTATGTCTTATGTTTGCAAATTTTTTATAAAAAGCAATAAAATATTATTAAACTAATTTAAACTAGATATTATATTATTATTTAGCCCGATGGAATGTATTTCGAGAGAGTATTTAAAGTGCAAAACTCATCGACTTATTTGACTTGAAACAGTGTACATCTTGACACAAATCTTTCGTCTTACATAAAAAAGCCATTTTACCTTTTTTATTTTGTTGTTGTTGTTAATGATGATGACGACGACGACGACGACGACGACGATGATGGTGATGATAACAACGATGACGACAATAATAATAATGATGATGATGATGATGATGATAACATTCATTTGTAATATATGTGCCTTAATTCTGTAATGACATATCTTCTGAATATTAGTAAATAACTAAGGCGAATCAACATAAATAATAAAATGACTAACAGTAATGATGATGATGACACCGGCGCGATGATAATGATGATGATGATGATGATGATGGTGACATACATTTGTTACATACATTGGTAACAAAATTTCTCGATCCCAAGTGAATATTAGTAAGTCGAATGAACATAAACAATTAAAAAGTCCAATGCTCATGACATGATGATGATGATGATGATAATAATGATGATGATGATGATAATGATGATGATGATGATGATGATGATGATGATGATGATGATGATGATGATGATGATGATGATGATGATGATGATAGCAATAATGATAACATATATTTGAATTATTTTGCCTACATTTGGTTGGGAAAATAATCTTGGCTAACAAGTATAAATAATCAACTTTCAAGCTGATGTCAGCTGAAATATTTTAATTGAGAAAAAAAAATGTCCATTTCGTTTATATGTGGTAGAATAAATGTGACATTTAAAGTTAATGCATGGGTACTTTTAGTTATTTAGGAAAGGTCAAAAGTTTATCCTTTGTAGCAGGCAAACATGTTGGAAAGCCATGTGGCAGTTAATTTAAATAAAATGTTTAAATTGCATTTTAGTTGAATTCGTATGTCTTATTTAAAAATGAAATATCTATCAGCAACATTGAAATACAGTGAATTAACTCGGCTTTTCCGGTTTCTAAAGCCAACTATATGAGATTATCGAGCTTATAGAGCATGCGAATGTATTCATTAAAGGTGCTTAAGAATGCACACCCCCCCCCCACCCCCCCAAAAAAAGCTTAATATTTTTGGTACCGTTTAAGTTTCCGAAATGTTACTTTTTGACTGAGCCACCTTTTGCTTCTTTTGGTTTTTGGCACTTAGTAGAGTTCCAATCATTTGCTTTTAT